GAAAGGGCGGGACGCGAGAAGGCGGGTACGCGAGAAGGCGGGTACGCGAGGCGGGGTGTGCGAATAAGCGAGGGGGCGGGGTGTGCGAATAAGCGAGAAGGCGGGAATGGGCGGGAGGAGGCCGCCCCTGCACCAAAGATGCCGAACGCGTGCTCAGCGGGGATACCGCTGAGCAGCGCAACGCCCGGGGAGGGGGGCGTCGACGAGGGGGAAAGGGAGAGGAGGTGGGAGTATATATCAGAGGGCAGGCGCCGGGGTTTGCCCGATTGGGATGTCTTTAGGCGCTTCAAGTTTGCCCGATTTGGAACGTTGGGTTGAATCGCCTCACAGAGTATTAGGCGGCGAAATCCAATCCGTTCTGGGGCAGTTTAACCCAAAGGATTCCAAGAACGGTTATCCCACGACCGGCGGCACCGTCCGCCGTCAGGAGGCGCCCAATTTAGACGCCAGTAGCATGTCCGTCACGTGTCCCAAAAGTTTCTGCCGGCTTTTTGGTGCTCGGTGCGCTCACTCTCGTGCTCGTCGTTCTGCTCGTCGTTCTCGCCGTCTGAGTCGCCCACAACTCGCCTGTCGCGCTCTTGTATACAGGCGCAACAGAGCCCTCGACCATGGCCACTCACGCACTCTACGAGACCTCGTCTGGCTATGCCGTCTTCGAGGTCAAGCTCCACGACGTGGTCGGTGCCCTCGACAAGGCCGTCCAGGCCTCCATTGAGGACTACTCAAAATTCAGCAAGATGGTCTCCTTGGTCAGCTTCGCTCCCTTCCAGAACGCTGCGCACGCGCTGGAGAACATTAACGACATCTCGGAGAGTATGTCAAAGCAACTGTACGTTTTCGAAGCGTCAGGCTCATCTTTTTTGCAGACATCGTCAACCCCTACCTGCGCTCTGTGCTGGAGCTGAACCTCTCCAAGCCGAAGAAGGGCTCCTCCATCGTGCTTGCGGTCAACTCGGCCTTCGCACCGATTCTGGCTAAGGAGACTGGTATTGCCATTGCCGACAAGGACGTTTCAACCGACCTCCTCCGCGGCATCCGCGAGCATGCGTCCAAGCTGCTCAAGGGCCTTCAGGACGAGGACCTGACGAAGGCGCAGCTCGGTCTTGGTCACGCCTACTCCCGCGCGAAGCTGAAGTTCAACGTGAACCGTATCGACAACATGATCATTCAGGCCATTTCGCTCCTCGACCAGCTCGACAAGGACGTGAACCTGTTCTCGATGCGCATGCGCGAGTGGTACGGCTACCACTTCCCGGAACTCGTCAAGATCGTACCCGACAACTTCGAGTACGCGCGCGTTGCGCAGTTCATTGGAGCGAAGGAGACCCTCACGGAGGACAAGCTTCCCGAGCTCGCTGCGCTCCTGGAGGACGACTCCACCCGGGCGCAGAACATCCTCGATGCGGCGCGCGGGTCGATGGGTACTGCGCTCTCGGACTTCGACATCCTCAACGTCGGCATGTTCGCGACACGCGTGGTGTCGCTCGCGGAGTACCGCAAGTCGCTGCAGGTATACTTGCACGAGAAGATGAACGACGTCGCGCCGAGCTTGACTGCGCTTCTCGGCGACCGTATCGGTGCACGGCTGATCAGCCACGCGGGCAGCTTGACGAACCTGAGCAAGTACCCCGCAAGTACCGTCCAGATTCTCGGTGCCGAGAAGGCGCTGTTCCGTGCCCTCAAGACCAAGGGCAACACCCCGAAGGTACCATTTTCTTGAACTCGTATCCAATAATCATGCTCACAGTATGTTTGCAGTATGGTCTTATTTACCACTCGACATTCATCGGGCGGGCAGGACCCAAGTACAAGGGCCGCATCTCGCGTTTCCTCGCCAACAAGTGCTCAATAGCATCAAGGATAGATTGCTACACCGGTACGTTCCTCGCACATCTCCCCCTGCTCGTTCTTATAACAAGTATGCCTGCCCCACAGACCACCCTACGGCGAAGTTCGGCGAGGTCCTCCGGCAGCAGGTCGAGGAGCGGCTGACCTTCTTCGAGACGGGTGAGGCGCCATCAAAGAACGCGGATGCGATGCGCAAGGCTCTCGACGCCATCGCGCTCGAGGACGGCGACGAGTCCGACGACGAGATGCAGGTCGACGGCACGGGCGCGCCCGCGCTGCCGCTGCTCGAGCCCTCTCCGAAGAAGGACAAGAAGAAGAAGCGGAAGAGCGCGGACGCGGACATGGACGTCGACGAAAGCGAGGCGGAGTCGCCGAAGAAGAAGGCGAAGCTGAGCAAGGAGGAGAAGAAGGCGCTCAAGAAGGAGAAGAAGAAGGCGCACAAGGAGGCGGAGGCGGCCGAGGTGAGCCCGTCTCGTCTCAAGGACGCGTGTGTCTGTTGCTGATGTGCTTGCTTGTGCCGTGCTGCAGGACGGCGAGGGCGCGCCGAAAAAGGAGAAAAAGGACAAGAAGGAGAAGAAAGAGAAGAAGGAAAAGAAGGAGAAGAAGAGCAAGGCGTGATCCTCTCTGCTCCTGTTCTGTCTCTTCCGTTTCCTTCTCCTGTCGCTGCGTCTCGTCCTGTACTCTTGTTGTGCTATCTATCGTCTCTCTCGCTTTCTCTCACTTCCGGGCTCGTTGATGCGTATGTGTTGTCAACTTCAATATGATACATATGCAACAAACATCGCTCTACTGCTCTTAAGCAAGAAGCGAGTTGTGTGAGAGAGTACATGTGCAAACCGAGACTACTCGTGCTATGGTTGCGAAATACTAATGGTACAATTGCGCGCAATCATTGATGCAGCAGACATGCAAAATGACAAACATGACGGGTATACACGAGTCGTGGATGCGCAGAGTCGAGTCGTCGTAAAAGGTCGTTTCGTGGGCGGATTCAAGCGAGAAACATAAAAAAAAGCACGCCGCCACCTCAGTCGCGGTCGGCAGAAGCACTCGCCTGGAAGACGATGAGGCTGGCCTGGCAGCCCGACACCACGAGCGCGGTCGCGACGTCCCCGACGGTCCGCTTCACCTCGTTCGCGAGCCCGCCGTGCTCCTCCATGACGCTCTTGAGCTCTGCGTGGTGGTTCTCCACGGCAAGCCGGCGCGAGCGTCCTGCGAGGATGAGCAGCCGGCCGCGCTCGTCCACGACAGAACGCGACATGCCGAGCGCCTGCTTGATGGTGTACCGCAGCGGCTCGGGCGTGCCGACGTCGCTGAAGTCCATGCGCGAGAGCGCGGGGGCGAGCGCGGGGTCTGCGGACGCGGAGGCGTGCGTGTAGCGCGACCAGGCGATGTTGTCGGCCGTCTCGGATTGGAGGCGCGTCTGCGTCGTCGCGTTCGCGTAGACGGTGTCCGGGAACATCTGTACATTCACGTCAGTTCTGACTCACGTATAAAGAAAGGGAGAAGGGAATGCGCACCGTGTTGTGGTGAATCGTCGGCTCGTCAGCCATGATTTGCTGCTTCTCGTTCTCTCCACTCTGCTCAGGCTCGTCCTCACGCTTCGTCACGCGTACCACAGTCGCACTGATCTTCGGGTTCGCGCACAGCTGCACCGCGAACTCGAGCGCGAGGCGGTCGTCGGGACCACCGAAGAAGGGCACGAACAGATGGTACGTGCCCGCATGCGTGAGCTTGTGGCCACCAGGCATGTGCCTGTCGACGAAGAGCGCAACGTCCGTATGCGTAGCGGCAAACAGGCTGCGCACAAACTGCGAGTGGAGCGCGGAGACGTCCGTGTGGTCTTGCCCCGGGGAGGTCGCGCGGAAGAGCGCCTCGAACGGGTTCGGCATGTGCCCGGCGCGCGGGGTGACTGCGTTTGAGGTGTCCCCAGGCGACGTCGCGCCCGGGCCCTGAGAGGACGGGGCGTCCATGGAGTAGTGTGGCGGGAGCCAGGGCACGAGAATGAGCTGGGACTCGTTCCGCTTGGCGTGCTCCGCGACGCTCGAGCCGAGGTCGTCGAACGTGACGATTGCGAGGGAATTGCTGACGGGGACGCCGTGCAGCGCGCCGAATGTGGTGAAAATGTCCAAGAGGGGGTCTGTAGTGAGCAAGTGTTCCGTGTTGGAGCCCTTCATGACGGCCGAAGTACGGTCCGAGAGCTCGATCAGGCGGATAGCATCGATGTTGACCTCAGCGGTGGATGGTGGCGGCGAGGTAGACAAGTCCGTCTTGAGCATGGCCGAGCTTCCCTCCAGAGTACTGCTGGCTGTGGCAGCTCTTTGCGCGTAAGGTGGGGGAGGCGGCAGGATGAGCTGCGTGAGTGCCATCATTCCCGGCAGATGCTCGATCTTGTCCAGCACCACCGTGAAGCGTGACCGATGGGAACCATCCTCATCGCGGGCTTGGTTGAAGCCTTCTGAGCGTTGCACTGCGCCTTCAGTCCCTTGCGGGCCGTCGGTGGCCGTGGCGTACGGAGCTCCCGTGGCGGTGGCGCGCACGCGCATGTGCGGGGGATACAAGAACTCGACGGCCGGCGTGGTCATGAACGTGAGAAGCAGCGCTTCGAGCACGAACATAGAGAACACGCGCGGGGACAGGATACCGGCAGAGAGGCCGACATTGAGCACGATGAGCTCTACCAGGCTATCAAACACTATGTGTTAATGGAAAGGTGCACTACGAAGGCGGAAATGAACCCACCCTTTGCAACTCATCAGCGAACCAATGGTGCTGGCCTCGCGCCAGGAGAAGCCTGCCCAGCGTGACGCAAGGGTACATCCTCCGAACTTGCCGATATAGGCCAGCGAGCAGATCGCGACCGTGTAGCCCCAAGTTATGCCTAGGATGCGGTCAGCGATCGTCACGAGAAAACCGTCGATCCAGGGATGTACCGTTATCGAGCAAGCCCAAGTCCGTGGATAGTCCGGAAATCGTGAAGTACTAATTAGGACGATCGTCAGCAGGCGGGATAACCTCGAAGCTATGATCCGCAACTTACTAGGGGCAAGAAGATGATAGACACCATGTCCTCCAGCTTCTCGGTTAGAGCGATAGCGAGGCCTCCCTCACGCGGAACAATGATTCCGGCAAGGAACGCACCGAAGATCGCATGGACCTACAAGAACGGTAATGAGCGGTATGCCACATGCGAGCAAACTGATCGACGTACCCCGATGATGTCGGTGAAAAACGCAGAGCCGAACAGAAGGAGCATCGTTACAGTCATGAAGAACATGGTGGGGCCATCACGGGTTGAGCCCGTGCGACGCGCGAGCCAGAGGAGGGCGCGCTTCACGACGAAGAGCAGGAACAGCGTCCAGCCGACACAGACCATGAGGATCCAAAGCGCCATCAAGCCGGACCCAGCATTGACGAGTGCCACACTGAGAGCGAGGAGCGTCCATCCAATGATGTCGTTACCGACGCCGGCAGAGAGGACGACGATGCCGACGGTGGTATCGAGTAGTTTCAGCTCCGTGAGGATACGGCACAGTACGGGAAAGGCAGTGATCGAGTAGGCGACGCCGGTGAAGAGCATGAAGTTCGTGAACTTGACGCTATGGTCGATGAACGTGTTGTAGAGGGGTACTGCAAGAGCAGCTCCGAACCCTGGGAAAACTAGTCAGTATCCCCGCGTCGTAGAGTACAAGCCGTAACGAGCATACCGAAGGGTAAGCACATGCCAGCCATGGCCACCGTGACGGAAAGCCGGGCATTGCGTTTAATGATAGCAGCGTCGATCTCTAGCCCAACGAGGAACAGGAACAGACAGAGGCCGATGTTAGCCACAAGGGAGAGGAAGGGGCGGGAGTCTTGTGGGAATATATGCTGCGTGAAGCCGGGGACACGGCCGAATGCAGTAGGACCTAGGAACATGCAATGAGGGGGTCTGAAACGGATCTAGGAGACGAAAGCGTACCTAAGAGAATGCCGCCAATGACTTCGGCAATGACCTTGGGCTGTCTGATCTTCCGCAAGCCCAAGGCGAGTATTTGTGTGGTGAGAACGATAACACCTGGGGATGGTTGGCATAGGCAGGGAATCGATATCAAGCATGGCTACTTACCGACTTGTACGATCCAGAGTCGCAAAGGATCATTAAGATTGATGGCAGTCGGATCCTGGCCACTCAACAAACCGCCCTGCGTGTCGAGCGTTGAGTTATCGGACAACCTCGCATACAATCTGCGGCTGTACTCACCTGTTCAGTTGCTTCCCTCTTCCGCAAAGCACGCCCTGCGATATCAAGGATTGTCCCGGAGAATTCCCGCATGGTGTAAGTCGTGGAAGGGAAAGTAGTCCTTTGTCTGTCGTGCGCGAGGGCTTAAGTACCGTGCGCGTTCAAGCACCCTCGAGATGCGGCTGATAGAAGTGGAGCCTGAGTTCAGTCGGCAGGAAAACGAGGGAGGTGGAGAGCGCGGCACCTCAAGATCGTTCTTCACGCGAACCTCCTGGTCCAGCGCGGTGGTGGTGGTCGGGAGCAAGGATGAGGGCGCGGAAGAGACGGCGACCGACAAAAGAACGAAGGGGTGTCCATCTTTAAATGCGCTCGCTTGTAAGAAGCCACAACTAGCCACATATTTAGCCGCCCATGACCACATTGCTACAACTCGCCCAAAAAGGGACTAGCACCCTTCGCTAATGTCGGCTCTCGGCCCGTTGATCAAGCGTATCGCTTATGGCAACTGCTGTTCTTTGTCGAGCTCCTCTCAACGATGCCGCCTCTCCACGTCCCGGCATTGTACATAGGAAACCGTGTTAACTCAGCTATGGCACGGACAACTAGCTTTAGAGCACATTTTGACATCGCTCCCTTCTTACGCTCACGTTCAAGCTCAGCCGTTCCCACGGCGGTGTCACGGTCTCCCTCGCTCGCATTTCAACGTCGACTCACATCGGGAGGAACGGATATACTTATATTGACAACCACATCCAAAAGTGAGGCTGCCTTACTCAACATGGAGTATCAAGGTCATTCGCGTTCCTGCTCTCCACCCGCAAATCTCCAAGCAGGCTCAGACCCCTCCACCTTGCACCTCGAACGTCGCACCTCTTCCGTGATCAGCAACGACGCTTCCCTCGTCCTCTAAAAGCCGATGCAAAGCCCAAGGAGACAGAGCAGCGCTTCAAAAACCTATTTTGACCGTCGGCCGAGCACTCAAGGCTAAGGGTGTTGATGAAGACTATCAAGTCCTCATCAGTGTAGACGCGCTCGTATGGAAGTCCAAGGCTGGGCCAGACGACATACTAAAAGCCTACTCAATAAGCGAACGATTCGAGGCAGTATGTCCATTCGAACTGTTCTTATGCGCTCCAGACTGACACTCCCATCTAGCGGACACCACCAACACTGGTAGTCAGGACGCGTCCGAGGACGACTCTTCGGACAATACCAAGCATCCGTTCCGCATGATCAAGAATGCGGGGTGTCGCATGGTACCTGTGGTCCTATATTTGTTAACTTATAACCAGGATGGTGCTCACTCGCGTCACCCAGCCTCACTCATGGGAAACCATAACATAACAATCTTTTCCCGCTGTAAACCCCCATACGGCGTAGTTAACGAGACCCATAACCGATGACTTAAGATATGACAAATGTATTTGCCTTGACATACCACGACGCAAGGAGCCTTGACATTTCGCCGAGAACGCGTAGATAGTGATACGGCTATTGCTAGTAAGTAGTATCGGTGAAGACACGACATTTTTGCTTTCCTCGTCCTCGTCTAATTCTACTCAAACCCGCGCAACCAGTTCCCCGTGTATCAGAGTAAACCACCCATCCTCCTCAGCGCCCCACTTGCGCCAAGCCTCCGAAACGCGCTGAAGGCCCTCCTGGGTATAGACCCCGTGCTTGAGCGCACTCGACGCGTAGTTCGACGACACCGAGCGGTCCGCCCACAGCCCGCTCCACCACGCACGCTCCTCGGGCGTGTAGTAGCACCACGTCCCCACGGACAGCGTGATGCTCTCGCGCGAGAAGCCGGCCGCCTTCGCCCACACGTGCAGGCGCCGTCCCGCGTCCGGCTCGCCGCCGTTCGCCCGCGCCGTCTTCAGGTAGCCGACGCGCCAGTCCTCGAGCCCCTCGACCTCGGGGTACCAGGCCATCCCAGAGAAGTCGGCCTCGCGCGCGGCGACGATCCCGCCGGGCTTCGTGACGCGGCGCATCTCCTTGAGCATCTGGACCGGGTCGCCGACGTGCTGGAGGACCTGGTGCGCGTGCACGACGTCGAAGGAGTCGTTCGGGAACGGGAGCGCGAGCGCGTTCCCGGTCGTGAAGGTGATGTTGGTGACGCCGCGCTCAGCGGCGTTCGCGCGGGCCTTGTCGAGGACGTCCGAGTTCGGGACCTCGAGGCCCGTGACGTGCCCCTGGGGGAGGAGGGCGGCGAAGTCGGCGGTGATGGTCCCAGGGCCGCAGCCGATGTCGAGGAGAGTCATGTCGGGCTTCAGGTACGGGATGAGGTAGGCGGCCGAGTTCTTCGCCGTGCGCCATGAATGCGAGCGTAGGACGGACTCGTGGTGGCCGTGTGTGTAGGTGGCTGCGCCTGTCGACATGTTGGTTATCTGCCTCGTCTACGTCAGTGCTGGTGGTTTTAGCGGCCACGTCTAACGGCCACTCACCGAGATGTGCTTGGGAGTAGGTTTGGAGTAACGTCAGTGGTGAATCGTTCGAGCTGTCTGTTGGTTGGCGTGCCGGTGTGGAGCGAGGGGGTCAACTTGCAGTTTCAGAACGGTACGTCGATCCTTATATGCTCTTTGGCACCCACATACGCTGGTCCTTTCGGCCGATAGATACAGGGTGGGTCCGATGACGTTTCGAAGGTCGAGTCAGAGTGAAAGAACCTGATGGTGAGTCTGGACGAAGCCACGATCTACTTAATCACAGCCGGCGTCACTACGTACATGCGCCTTCCTGACAGACCCTGGACTACGCACCACGAAATAGTAATTTACGGCGCTGCTGCAGTGCGAGCTAGCCGGAATCTACAATTTTGAAGGGGGGGGGTATGTCGTACCTGGCAGCGGAAATCGATAGACCACCGCCATTCTACTCTGCTCAGGCCCATCCGTGGAGCGAGACCTCCACATACGGAAGGTCGACCTACCGCGTGTCACGCCGCACTCCCTCGCAGCGTCTCCGAGTTCGCGTTCCACCACCGGCGCTAGTTTCGCAGGTTTGGGCAGGTTTGGGCGTGATGACCACCTCCAGACGGGTCCATCGCCTTCACTTGGGATCAATCACTACCCAAGTTGATCTTCTGCACATAGCTTGTTGTTCAGAAGAGTTCTTGAATATTTGGGAGATCATACCTGCACTAGACGGACCATGCTGGCAATGGCACAGCTGGTTGGCGCTGAAGTTGGCGGCGTTGAAGGATAGGCGCGCGTCCATTCTTGGTGTCAGTGCGTCACGACGTACTTTGATGGTGTGACGGCACCGCCGGCGCTTACGCCCAAATTGATGTCCGGGCCCGCGCGCGGCGCGTTGCCTCCTGCAAGTGCACTCGTCTTCGCGTTCATTCCTCTTGCTAGCTTCGTCGTGCTGCTTGGTGACCACGTCTTCTTGAAATCTATCGCGAGACCGCATTGTGGTGGATACTAGCTTCTGACTACGTCTGGACTGGAACACCCGAAGCTTCGGACCGCACCGACTCGGCTATCCAGGTCACCTCCCTTACGCCTTTCGGAGCACTTTGCAACGGACAGCGCATTCGTGTCCGCATCGCGACCCCTTTCGTACGCGCGAGCCTAGCATTTGACTCTTAGCTGTCCCTCCCTTGAGTGTACCTCCGCTACGACGACACATGCCTCCCAATCCCCTAACGCTCAAGCAGCGGCTCGCCGCCCTGTCTGCCAACATCCAGTCTTCGTCTCGCTCATCATCGGACATGCCTCCGGACTCTCCTAGCGGGAAGCGTAGGGCATTCTTCAAGCAACCCTTTGGGAGAGGTCCCAGCGCGGACGCGGGGACGGGCGAGCCGTACGGCCAGGAGCGGATACAGGAGGTCATGAACCGATTGATATTCCAGGCCGGAGTCGACTATGAGTGAGTGCTTTGTGACCTCCCTTTGGAATTTGGACTAAAGAGTGCCACAGAACGCGTCCAATGTGAGTCTTTGGTTCGCGCGCTGAAAGAGGTTTGACTTACCATGCCGCCACAGGATTGTTATGTGTGCTTCTGCGATGCCGGACCCCCGAGAAGTATCCTACGACCTTCTTCTCAGGTGAGCATCTTGTCGTTGCCTTCCGCCCACCGCCGTAACGTGCATGCAGTCGTATATTGTCATATCTCGACCTCTACGGTATGATGCATATAATCTCCGCGTTGCGGATTTGCTCACCTCTGGTTACCAGTGGAATCCGACTACACGGTAGTATTCCTCGCCGCCGGGAACAGGAATTCACCAGGCTGGAACTGGGTTTGGAAAGCATACCGTAGCTTGAGCCGCAAGTACCGCAAGAATTTGAAGCGTCTGGTAAGTGAAGCATTGTACCCCTTTCAGCAGTGTCTCACCCACCGTCACAGTATGTTGTGCACTCAAATTTCTTCACCAAGAGTGAGCGCTCCGCGTGCTACCCTCTGCCCACACCCTAATACCCCCATTAGTGCTATTCTCTGCGGCTGGCGCGATCATCAGGTCAGGGTCTCTGCGTGCAGCATGTGAACGTCTCCCGCTGACTCGGGAGCAGTCCAAAATTCTTCCGCAAGATAACTTATATCAATACCCTTTCCGAACTGGCATACCACGTCCCCCTGACACAGATAGATATACCCCCGGCAGTATACCAGTGCGTGTCCTGCCCATTCTGTCGGCACCGCCGTGCCAACGTGTATTCACTTTGCCGTAACGCGCCAGAGAGAACCTAAAGCATGAGAAACAGATCAACCTCCCTGTCATGTCCCGATCGGACCTTTTTGGGGTACCGCTGGAGGAGCTCATGGGATTCGACGGCGAGAAGGGCGGCCTCCCACGCGTGGTCAAGGATTGCATCCAGTACTTGCGCTCCACAGGTCCGTCCGGGTTCTCGCCGCCCGTGTGGTTGGCCCTTCCTCGTTCCCCACTCACGTCTCCCAAGGTTTGCACGATGAGGGCCTCTTCCGCCGATCGCCGAATTCTGTCCTTCTGAAGCAGGCCGCGCAAGCGTATGACAGAGGTAATTCTGTCTCGCCGGGTCCTGGCGCTCCGCGGGCTGGCGCTGACAATGTATGCGCGCACAGGGCACGTCGTCTCGCTAGAAACATTTGGCGACCCCCACCTCGCCGCGGTGCTTCTGAAGAAGTATCTGCACGACCTGCCTGAGCCCATCTTCCCTGAACGGCTGTACCCGGTCATCCGACGGTGTCCGCCCCCGACGAGCGACCCGGATGACATGTCTAGCATCATGTATATTCGCGAGACCCTGCTGCCCGAGCTCCCGCCGTGCGTGTACATCCTTCTCAGCAATGTCCTCCGTAAGTTCAATATCCCCCTTGCGTTGGGCATCACATCGCTGACGGTCGGACCCTTCATGCAGATCTGCTCCACGAAGTGCAGCTCCGGTCCGCGTCCAATCGCATGGACGCGCACAACCTCACGGTGGTAATCTGCCCCAACCTCGTCTCGAGCTCGAACCCGATGCGCGACGTGATGATGTGCTCCGTCCCGAACGCCCCCACGCTCTTCGACACCGCCCGCGCCGGTGCGCCCGACCCACGAGTCCCCGCACACCCCATGCACAACGCGGCCGCGCTCGCGGAGGGCAAGACGACGCTGGGCATGGTCGTCAAGCTCTGCATCGAGCGGTACTACGAGGTCTTCGACGAGCTGCCCGACCGCACCGAGGCGCTCTCGCAGGAGGTCGTGCACGCCCCGAACCCGTTCGCGGACATGCCCTCGCCCGGGAGCCCGTCGAACAACCGCGACAGCGCGTTCCTGGACGACGAGGAGATCGACGACGCGATGCTCGTCATGCCCATCGGGCCCAGCGCCTCTAGCCGCTTCCAGCAGCAAAGCGGCAGCGGGAGCCCCGCCCCCACGGGATCCAGCACGTTTCGTCCGCGGCACCAGACCTCGCAGTCTCGCGACGCCACGGCGCGCTCGACGCACACCGGGTTCGGGGGGCAGGGCGGGGGTGGGGGGAGCGCGTACGCGACGGTGAACAAGGCGCGCTCGACGATCAGCATCGAGCGCGGGAACCCGTCGCGCAAGGGCTCGATTGCGGTCGGGCGCAACACGCAGCGCGGCAAGGGCGCAGGCGCGGGCGTGCAGGCGATTGGCATCACTGCTGAGGGCTTTTTCTCGGCTCCGGATGCGCCGCCGGTCCCGACGCTGCCGTCGCATCGGTGAGCAACGCCCGAGTCCGCCGGGTTCATGAGGGTTGTTACGAGGTGATTGGGGACGTGGTCGGTTCTCTGGTTCTGGTTCTGCTGTACCCTACGTGCTTGTTTATTTTTCCCTGGTGGACCTTCTGCTCAGTACAATATTCATCGAACTTGTGTGCTTGCCCCGCAGGCGACTCACAGGTAGTCTCCGCACGCATACTGCGCACGATGGTTGGCACGGCCCCGGAGCCGCTCCAAAAATCTCAAACATGCATTCTGACTATAGCCGGCTTCCCGATCTGTCGAGCTGCTCCCGCGAGGGCGACTGCGCCCGCCTGCGTCCCGGAGCCTCATGGCGACGGGGCGGGATGGGGCCAGGGGCGTCGGAGGGCGCCACGTGGGTGACTCACTGATCCGGGCGCCCGATTAGGCAGGCGTGTGACTCGAGGCGGGCACGCATAAAACCACACAAAACGTGCTGGAGGGGCCTGCTTGGCCCGCTCTGCCCCCGTTCCTCCCCCCTCTGCTGCTGTCCCCGCCACTCGCTCTTGTCCTGCGGTTTCTTCGCTGAATTTTCGCGCTCTCTGGTGTCTAACGGTCTTGCGGAGGCCTGCTTTGGTTGGACGAGGTCTCAATCAAGTCGCGTGCGTTCGACGCGTCGTGACGGCCCGTGACGGCGCGGAGGCGTTTGGCGCGCGTCGAAGTCGAAGGCTCGGAGCGGTCGCGTCGGCAAGAGCGTGTGGCTACGGCCTCGCTGCCGACCCCGGTGAGCATCGCAGCGCCCACCTCATTCCTTCACCCCGTTTTGCAGATGTAAACGACATGTCGACTCCGAACGCGGTGCGCGCGGGTGGCCGGAGACAGGTGCAGCATAGCCCGAGGGTGGACAGGCAGCGGTGTGGACGTTTCTTGCTGTGAGTGCCGTGTCTGCCGTGTGCAAGGTGGTGCTGACGCGACGACGTGGCCCGTGTTAGTCGGGGTAGTGTACATCGCGCCAGACGGCCTGGTGACCCCAGTGATTGCTGTTGCTGTTCGTGCGAGGCGCTGCGCCCGGGCTTGGCTGTGCTGGGTACCACGAATGTATGCAACATTGACAATTCGAGGCGTGCGCGCGTACGCATCGTAGCGCTCCAGGAAAGAAGCTCGGACGATTGGTGCTGCTCTGGTGGTAGCTATGCCGTGAGGCTTCCGTGGCAGCTTCTGCAAACTCTCCCCGTCGCCTGCTGCTCGAGTTAGCGAGCGTTGGTCAGCGAACGTCGAGCGAAAACACTGCTGAACAAGCAGGATCCAGGCATCCACACGAAGGTCCGGCTTATCACCCATCGCGACGTCACGGTTATGGGGTTCCTGTTCTCGTTCTGGTCATGCGGCCCCCCTGGTGGCTGTGGAAGAAGAGTAGAGGCTCTGAGGGCGCTCCGACGTCGGGATGATCACTCCTGGAAAACGGGCGCAGAAGAGGCTGTCTGTGATTGGGGCGACGCCGCGATAGGGCGGGCGGGTGGGATTGGGCGGCGGGTCGGGGGCAGAGGGTTAATGAACGGGACATGTGAGTACCCCGCGCTGTGCCTGGGAGCGGGGAAGCGCAGAACGTTCCCGGGATGGACACCGTCGGCCGCACGTCGGGATGGATGGCCCGGGCGCGCATGAGGGCGCGATTAGAGCGCGACACGGGACACCGCGCGCGGCGGGCGGCGCGCCCCCCGAGGGAAAATCAGCGCGATCGATGGGCGCTGATTGGGCCGCGCGGGGCGGGCGCAGGACGTCGGGCGACAGAAGGCGACTCGTCGGATCTTTGGCAGAGAGGGGTTCTGCTGCTTCGCCCGCCGGCGGCGGCCTGTGCGCCCCGCGATCGCAGCGGCGCCGCCTGGTGGACGTGTGGCCGGGCGATGGATGCTGTGCGGGCGTGTGCTTACGAGACGCACGGATGCCAGGAGCCTGCCTGCCTTTCTCGCCAGCATCCACACACATTCGGAGTGCGGGGGAATGCATCACTGACTCGAGCGCAGTCTCCCAGGCCTCGGGGCCGCAGCCCCCACGTCGTCCATGTGCACCAGCGCGACTGTGCACTGCGCGCGCAGACACCTCTGGCTTCGTATGTCCTCGACGTGGCCTTGGACGTGCTCAGACGTGGCCCAAGGTCGCGCCGAGGGTCTGCGGAGAGGCGGGAAGAGGGCGCAAATTGTGGACGGACCGCACTTGCGGTAGCCGGGCCAGGTACAGCCTCCTGCCTATTCGGACAAATGGGCGTTACTGAGTCTGAAAAGCGGTGAAACGGGAAAGATAAATGCGTGGCCGAGTCAGATTATCGCCTTCGTCCTCCCTCTTCCACCCACCACCCACCACAACACACCTCGAGCAGCACTAGCTCTGTCCGAGGTAACCATCGTCGCTCACGTATAAGCCGTTCGAGCCTTCCGTAAGTCCCCTCACCCGCTCGTATCTTGTCCGTATCGCCGTATTCCGCTGGCAGCAGTCATTAAGCAATTTTTGCCAACTGCTCAAATGTCCGTGATGCCCTCGTCCAACGGGCCAGTCGAATCCCATAACCTGCTCAACATGCAGTACATGACGCACGAGTGGCCCTCGTATCGTTCCGACGTCGAGGAGCCTCCGCGCCCGGTATCCGGTCCAGCCTCAGCTGAATCGTCGTCGTCCTCTTCCTCTTCCTACCACTACTCGATGACCAGCGCACCGTCGGCGGACCCATACGGCAATGATACCACCTTTGAGAACTCCCCACTGATTCATCCGCGGTCACCTTCCAGACTCTCCCAGCTAGCAGGTTTGCCGGCTGAAGCCCACCAACTTCCACCCCTCCACTCCACAGCCTTGTTTCCTTCCCGGTTCCCACAACATACTCAGCGTCGCCAAGATGTTCTCCCTTACTCAATAAGCGCGTCGTCTCGCGACCCTTCGGACCTCACCACCAGCCATGGTTCCACTCGCCCACTACACCTTGAGAGTTTCCAACTCCCAAGTTCCCACCCGACTCAAAATGTCGCGTTAATCGCATCATCCAGTCGTCCTAGGACATCCCACCCGGTCTTCACATCGACCTCGGCTCTAGCTGCTCATCATGGAATCCCCCAGTCGCTTCCACCAGTACCTCGAACAACCAGATTCTCTTCAGCTTCACCAGCAGTTTCTCGTCCTGCGCCTGCACCCCCAGTCGCCTCTAGCTCTACAGATTTCGACTTCTCCTCTTTGTGCTCCAACTACTTGACCATGCTTCAAAACCCGGAGAAGCCTCAGTCCCCCGCGGTGGCTTCGGCCCCGCACAACCTCGGTCCCGATCAGGACACCGTGCAGGCGATTATGGACGTGCTCCAAGGTATGTTGCTAGCGCGATCGTCAGCCCACCATCAGGGTCTCATGAGCGGGCCCCCCTTTTCAGCCACGCCTGAGTTCCAGCACGACTTCAGCGAGTTCCTCACGTCCCCGATGGAGGACTCGCCGTTCGAGGAGTTCCTTACCACTCCCGCGTTGGGCTCCGCCGATGTAGCGGCTGACCTGCTCACCAGCCCGGCGATCTACGACGCCGACTCCTTCCCCGACTACGGCAGCATGCCGCTGTTCGGAAGCGACGGTCTCGGGCTCAGCGGCGCCAGCGAGATGCACAAGGCTCATCACTCTGCGCCCTCGCTCTCGCACGACCCGTTCAACTTCGAGGGGATGTACACGATGCCTTCTCCCACTACGCCGTCGCTCGATCCCACCTCCCTCCATCCCTCGCCGCACGCGGGCACTCTCGCGACGCCTTCCACCCCCGGCCGTCGCCCGCGCAAGAACCTGCCGACTGGCACCAGGAAGAACATCACTCCTGATGCCCTGGTGTCGATGGACGCTCCCATCCAGACGCGCAAGTATGTCGTGCCATCGTCGACGTCGCGCAAGGAGGTCCCGACAGCGTTCCTCAAGAAGAAGCGGGCGCGGTCGCAGGCGTTCGAGGAAGACGAGCTCGAGGACGAGATCGCCATCGACCAGAACGACCTCGACGCGATCGAGGCGAAGCGGCGCCAGAACACCCTCGCCGCTCGTCGCAGCCGGCGACGCAAGCTCGAGTACCAGCGGGAGTTGGAGTTGAGCGTCGAGCGCGAGAAGGATGAGAAGGAGGCCTGGAAGCGGCGGGCAACCGTCCTGCAGGCTCTGCTGGAGAGCCACGGGCATGACGTGCCGTCGCTCGACGCGCTATGAACGCGGTCAGCCTCCCCACTCTTCTCTCCTTTGACGCTGCTTTGTGCGTATACCTTATGTCTTATGTTCCCCTCTCTCGTTATCTCTCTCTCCAACGCCACGTCTATCGTTTGTGGCCTTCGCTACTCCATCTACCGCTCCCCCAGTCCATCTCTCGTTTGCGGAGTAGCGTCGCATCCCCCCAAGTGTCTCCCCAAGCTTCCCTGCTCCCCTGCCCCCACGGTTTTGTCCATATGTTCAAAAAATCTCGCTAATGTCGTCGGGCGTAGTTAGTACCCCGGCTTCCCGGTTTACAATCCCGTGTTCGCATCGTCCAGAAATATATCCGATACATACGTGTTCTCTTGCTGTACACATCGCGTGAATGAATGTCGTGCAACGTATCCAGATGACGGTGACCATGAGTGCTTGAGTGACAAGGATGCATTTGGTTGTGTGGTCTGGCGTAGAAGCCGTACTTGGTCGTCTCGAACGGCGCAGTCATAGCGCGCGACGTCGTATGGGTAACTTCCGAATACTTTCCTGATGTCGCACCCGCTGTGGCGAAGTTCGAATGCTGAGCTCATTACACAACATTACAATTATCCATTCTAGGGTATGTATAAACATCGCATACGACAGACAGAGTCTATACGAATCACCGCGCCTTGCTGTCTGCTCAAACTCTGCACTTGAGCTCCGCGCCAGTGACCATCGCGATCGTCGCGCCCAAGCACCAGCCCAGCTCCGTGCCCTCGATCTGCTTGCCCACCTGCACCTCGCGGTCCGCGCCGAACTCGTACCCGAGCCGCAGCAGCGCGTGCATGAACGTGAGGTCCAGACAGTGCTCCGGGCGGCCCTCGAGCTCCTCGAGGAGCGCGCGGTCCGCGCCCCAGCGCGCGCGCCACGCCGCGGGGCCCTCGCACACCGTCTGCGCGAGCTCGGCGAACGTGCCGACGTGCAGGGGGGGCGTGAGCGGGTGCGACGTCGCGGCGAGGAAGGGCCCGAGGCGGTCGTAGAAGTAGGAGAGGAGCAGGATCTTGCCGTGTGGGAAGGTCTCGAGGAGCGAGGGCTGGTATACGCCGTTGAACGAGCATGGCTTCACTTCGCAGATGCTGCAGGGCGACCAGATGTGTGAGATGAGATAAGTAAGGGAGAGAGGGGGCACGGGGACTCACGCGTCCTTGGCCATGACGAGCTCGACGACGCGGTTGCACGCCTCGTAGTTGCCGATGTCCGCGCCGACCATCGTGACGTTGTACTTCTCGCCCAGCCGCTCGTCCTCGATCTCGACGCGCCGCTCCGTGCCCTTCGCGAGGCACGGGTTCGGGACGACCGCGTCCTTGCCGTGGCTCTTCCCGAGCAGCCCGTTCATGAACTCGACGACCTTGTGCACACTCGCGCGCGCGCGCATCAAGCCGTACCCGAGGTACGAGTGCTGGTACAGCACACGCTTCTTGCCCCCGAACGCGAGGTCGTACTTGTGCTCGCCCTCCTCGAGCGTCGCGTCCGGCTTCGCCATCTTGAACGTCGGCTCGAACACGATCTGCGTCGACGCGCCGCCGAGGTCGAGCACCGCGTACGGCTCCGTGCCCGCCGGCGAGCTGCTCCGGATCGTGTCGAGCAGGTAGTTCGCCGTGATCCACGCGTACACGCCCTCGTCGCGCCCGTCCATGATCACGACCGAGTCCGCGCCGCCCTGCAGGCTGAACGGGTACTTGTCCTCGATCCGGTGCCGCACCGCCGCGAGGATCGCCGCGCTCTCCGCGTCGCCCAGCAGCCGCAGGCCCGCCGTCGCCTTCACCGCGACGGGCGTGCACTTGCGCAGCGGCTCGGGCACGACGCGCATCGCCTCGTCCAGCAGCTCGTCGAGGCTCTCCGCCGCGGCGCTCGGTGCGTAGCGGTAGTCGGACAGCCCCGGCTGGCGCTGCTTGAACACCTCGTACTCGTACCCAGGCGAGGGTCCGCAGTTATTGAACTTGTAGATGTGGATCCGCGAGCCGGTGGAGCCGGCGTCGATCATGAGCGCGAACTGCACGAGGGGCAGGTCCGGCTTGTACGGCTTTGTGCAGAAGTGGGTTTTTGTGAGGTCGCCGTCGCTCACGGGGTCGGTGGGGCGTGCGGGGGGCGCCATGTCGTCGTCGTGCAACACCGGTCCAGGTACATGAGCATCTTCATGGTGTGTTGGTCCCGGTGCGGCAGGTGGCGCCTCGAACGTCTCCTTCGAGTCCGAGATAATAGCTGCATCCATCAACAGTCTTAGCAGCATGCTTTTTGACGAGTGACAACCAAAACAGTGAGAGCGACTTTCACTGAGACAAATGACTCCCACTCAGAACAATGCTCCCGGGATATTCCCAGTGTACAACCGCCAGCCACATATCGCAGATGTGTTTGTGTGGCTCATTCTGTTGTATGTGTCCTGTAGTCGGACTCGTCGTGTGGACTTGATAGAAACCGCTGAAGATACCATCTGAACGTGGTCGCCCGAGGTCCAACAAGCATGCCAGGTCGTGTTGTGGTCAACGTGCGCAATATGTCGCCGTTGAGCGCGACGTACGTGCATAGACATGTGCGGAGCCGCCGTTCTGCGGGGTAGAGCACCAAGTCTTCGTACTCGACGAGCGCGACACAACCCAGCGTGATCGCGGCAAACTCGCGCGACCTGATCATATGGCTCCTCGGCACAGTGACTCTCACTGTGGCCCCCCACTCTTAGTGGGAGTCGTTGGTCTCAGTGAGAGTCATTCTCACAGATCTGGCATATACTCCTTTTTGACGAGGGATGGTGGCACTCACAAGGCATGTAGTCATCGAGGTCCTCTCTCCGCGGACCGAAGAAGTAGACGAGTCCGATAATTACAGCCGCGCCAATCGCGAACTTCTTCCATGCAAACTTGCGGCCTGGTCCGCTCTTGCTGGGGCCCATGCCGCCCTCAAGGCGTTCGTAGTTGCTACTCCGGGGCGAGAACATGTTGCTGCCGCCTCTTGACCTTCTGCGCGAGTGGGAGCTGCCGATGACACCAGAGCGGGCCGCGTTGCCAACGGAAGCGGAGGAGGACTGGGTGGTGGCCAACTTCGCTGTGTGCGCCTGGGCGAGGGTGGAGTCCGACGAGGACGCCGGGGAGGAGGAGAGATGGTCGTTGAGAGAGAAGAGGTGTAGGCTGCTGTGCTGCATCTCGACGATCATTCGCCCTTGCTCCACACACACGGCAGGCTTATAGGCGCTTTCGGCTGGGAGTCCTTCCACGTTCCTCTTCATTCCGCTCTCGCACCGCTCTTGAAATACACACAGCGAGCTCGCACATGCGAGGAACGTTCTCGCATTCCCGCTATCGTAGTGATACATTGAGTCGACGAAATCCCAGCTATAACGTTGTCCGCTCCGACAGGGGCACTCAACGCGTCCGCCGACTCTGGCGTGCCTCATTATACGACGGCAGCTCGTCGTCGGCCCCGCCCAAGGCCCCGTTCAACCCACCCCCGACATGGCCCTCCACGCGCCACGCCCACTCGTTTCCCTCCTTCCACCGGAACACGTCCCCGCCAAAGTTCACCTCCAAGTCGCACGCGCCGCCCACGCCGACCGCTGCGTACACGTCGTGCTCCTCGCGCGGCATGTACACACCCTTGAACGCGTCCGGGAGGCGCACGCCGTTGTGCGTGAAGAAGATCACGCCGTCCGCAAAGGAGTACCCGAGCCCGACGGTGTCCCCGGGCCCGACGTGCTTGAGCTGGGGCGTATAGTCGCGCCCGCCGTCGGGGTCTTCGAAGAACTTGCGAAGATCGTCGAGGTGCAAGCCTGCGCTGAGACGGTTCCACCCCGGAAGCCGCCAGTAGGGGTACGGTCGACATGCAGTACCTGCAGAAACGAGGTGAGAACGAGGTGCACGGAGGGAGCAAGGACATGCGAAACGCACCGACTGCAATGATCCCGTCCATTCGGAGGACCTTGACCTCATAGTACACTCCAAGCTTTCCATGGACTTCATACGATCCAGCAAGGATGGGTAAGTCACTGAGGAGGCACACGTCTTCGCATCCCGGCTCCGTTACAACGCGCACCACGCCTGCACCACTGCCCTTGTCGTCACCGCCGCTGCCATAGATCCGTCCACGAAAGCGCGGCGTGTGCGGGGCCTCGAGCTGCCACGCGCGGCAGCCCACAGCGTCGATGCGCTCGACCGCGTATGACGGGAGGGGGCGGGGCGGATCTCTGGGGTACTGTGCGCAAAACCGCTGCGCGGACTCGTACTCGTCCTCGGTGGCGTCGGCGTAGAGGCCTTCGGCGTGGACTGCTTCTGGCGCGGGTTGCCACTCAGGCGGCGCGTCGAAGTCGGTGGGTGGGCCAGGAGGAGGCGAGTATGTAGTCTGGAGGGCCTTGCCCTTGCCCTTGAGTGCTTTAAGCCATGACATGCTGGAGTTGAGGATGAGATGTTTGGTGGTGGTAAGACAGATGTTCAGTGGTGGGAGGACAATAAGATGGACGTACGCTATGTCGCGGGTCTGTCTGTGCCAAATAGAGACGGCGGTGGCGTACCGGCACACAGGTAGAAGGCTGTGTGTGGGCTGGTCGGCTACGACGCCGAGAACATCGAGCCATGCATATGCATCGTCGAACGCCAGCCAACCATGTTCGTCGTGCGTTGTGGGATTGAAACCATTGCGAACGTCGACGTCGGGGAGAAGAAGCTCGCAGGACATAGGCGCCCGATCGCTACTTTCTTCTCTCTCCCTGACTCTCGGGACGCACTCAGCCTCGAGTGTACTCAACGTCTGCTTGTAGCGCATTCTCTGGATCTCTGGTCTTCTGAAAAGATAGAAACTAGTGATGCTGTTCTGTCCAAACTGCGCAAATCTGCTCGTCATTTCAGCAGAGACAGGCTACAACAAATGGGCGTGCAATACATGCGCGTATGAGTTTCCTATAACTAAGCAGGTGCGTCCATTTGTCTCTCACTATCGACCGCGCTATCATACCACAGATGCCATACGTAGATGACATCTCGAACAAAGCTCAAGCGAAAAGTCGTGGACGACGTCTTGGGCGGAGATGAGCAGTGGAAGCACGCCGATTCTACCACCGGTGCGTACGCTGCGTATACACGTTAGGGCATGCCTGCTCACACTGCTTCAACCTATTAGCGACATGTCCAAAATGCGACAATGGTCGCGCATACTTCTATCAGCTGCAGATTCGGTCAGCAGATGAGCCTATGACCACATGTGCGTCCTCCTTACCGAGGGATACCGTTCGATGCTTATTTTCTCGTTTCACTCTTTCTCCAGTCTATCGGTATGTCATCATCGCTAGTGACCCTCTGACTTGTTATTGACGCTTCTACAGCTGTACGGCCTGTGCCAACAACTGGCGAGAAAACTAGACTTGCCTTCCAGTGCAAGCCCTGGCCGTCTGCGCTCAATTTTGCGCATATTCGAAGGACAAGCCTCCGCACCCTGGCAATCTACGCATGCTATTACGCTGCGCTCATGTTATCGCGCGTCAAGATCCGACTTTTCGGATGGAGAACGCGCGTCCCGAGCTGCAAACAAGGACCGCGTGCCCTGAACTACGAGTACGACCGGGGAGATCATCTGTATTTCGTATAGGCCAACTGTTATGACGCGTGTACTCATGCATTGCCGTTGTAGATATATTCCAGTTACGCTCCGTCGCAATGTTGTACTAGTTTCGCATTCGTTCAATATGCTACTCCGCTCCCCACGCCAGCGAGCGGCGGCAGGCATCGTTCCTCAAACTGAGTGAGCGACCATAGCCGTACCTGTCATACGGATACACAGCATGTATTGCACAAGGATACACATACACATCAGGCTCCAGTGTCCAATATCGTACACTACATCCTGCCTCCTCCGCCCCGCCCCAGCAAAAAACAAAAACCCACAACCTCTCAAACAGAATCCTACAACGTCTGCAGCTTATCCAAGAAGATAGCCCACTCCACAACCGACACGCCCCGGCGCAGCGCCTGCTCCTTCACCTCCCGGTCGCGCGTCTCCTCACTCAGCCGCGGGATCGCGCGCAGGTGGTCGACGCGCCGCACCCCGAGCTCGTGCAGCACGGGGGCGATGTGCAGCAGCGACGGGTCGCACGCGGCGAGGATCGCCTCGACGGACGACGTCGTCGTCGCCTTCGCCGCGCCCGTGTTCGCCGGGCTCAGCGGCAGCGCGTCGCGCATGTTTTGGAACGAGCCGTGTAGCGGCGAGAGCGGGCCCGCTGCTGGGGGCCCTGGGGGAACGGGGGAGAACGCACCCCGCGGGTGCTTGATGCCCGATGGGCTGCCTGAACTTCCCTGACTGTCTGTGTGCGGCGGCGTTTGCGGGTAAGAGACCATGTACTGTGGAGGGTGCTGCGCTGAGTGCGATTGCATAGTGTACGATCAGCCGGGATACGCACCTCGCTCCGGTCCATCGACTTCCTGGCGGCGTGCCGACGCAGGCTTGGGGAGGGCGCGCCCCGATCGAACCTCCTGTCCGTCGTTGGGCTCGACGGCGTGCGCAGGTCCCGCGTGTTGTTCCCCCCAGCTCCTTGGGGACCTCCGGGGAGCATCTCCACGGGTGCCCCGCCGTTGGCATGGTCGTATGAAACCATGTACTGCATATCGTGCTCAGCACCCTCCTCGTGTAGACGTCAGGTGAGAGGGCGTCAGGCTTACCTCGCTTCGCTCATAGGCATGTCTCTCGCGTTTCCCGCCATCCGCGCCCTTGCCATGCCTCGTCTTGTCAGAGTTATCATAGCGTGTATGCTCGCTCATAACCCTCCGCAGGCGCGGGTCGCTGTTCATCGAGCCTGACGGCACCCGGCGGTGTGCATGGCTCCCCGCCACGCTCCGCCCGTCTCCCATTCCCCCCGCCGTAGTAGCCTCCCCCTCATCACCGTTCCCGCCCCGCTGTGTCTCCTCATACCGGCTCGCGCTCCCTCCAACACTACTCGCCGCCACTCGCTCGCGCCAGAGCGAGATCGTGCGCGCCGCGCTGTCCTCGATCACGCGCTGCTCGACGAGCTCCACCCGACCCTTCTTACCGCTCACATGCCGCGTGTAGTCCGGAGGCGGGGGCGGCAGTGGCGGAGAGGGCGGGACGGGAAGAGACAGAGGCAGCGACTTCTGCCGCCGCCGCGTGGGCCGGGGTGCTGGCATCGGGGGAGGGGGCGGGGCCATGGTAAGCGGCGCAGGCCATTCGGGGCGGCTGCTCCCGCGTCCGCACGCGCTCTCGTCGATCCAGCAGTCGACGCGCCGGCGCGAGTCACCTCCGTGAGTTTTGGGGATGACGCTCACACTAGCGACGCTGAGCGTGCGCGGGCGCGGGCGCGCATTGGATGGTGGGGGTGTCGGGCTCGCGGCGCGACGGCTCCGCTGCTGGTCCTGCTCGCGCTCGTGCTGGAGGTCGCGCTCGCGGTACGCCTCAAGCATGCGCGCCTGCGCCTGCGCCGCGGTGTCGATCTGGCCCTCGAGCATGCGCTCCAGCTCCACGACGTAGTTCTGGTACCCCGTCACGCTCTCGTCGTACTCCGGGTGCCCGTCCCCGCCGCGGCCGTGGCGCTGGCCCCACTCCGACGGCGCGGCCGTCGTCGCCGCATCGAAATTCTCGTCGAGCGGGATGCTGGTGGGCGGCGCGGGGGGCGCGTTTGCGGCGCGGTACGGGTAGGCGTGCGAGGAGCGGCGGGCGCGGCCGGGGTAGTGCGCGGGCGGCAGGCGCTCCGAGCGCGGTGGGGGCGAGGCGGAGCTTTCGCGCGGGCTTGGACTGCGGGAGGACATGTGCGGGGGGTAGTAGTCTTGCTCGTAGTGGGTCTGCATCGGAATGAACATCGTCCCTTGGGACGTGCTGTTTGTGTGTAGGTGTTCTCGGGTATCAGTAGGCGCGCTTCTTTGTGCGTGTCTTCAGTTTTTGGAAGACGACTCGAGGAAATGGGCTACCTGTTCTCGGGAGTGACGACAGTGACAGCGCCCTCGTGCGGCGGGGTGGCAGGCAGCGGGTTTGGCGAAGCAGCGGGGTCCGTCGAAATGCACTCGAGCTGCACGGAGATAGCGATGTCGGTGAGCGGGTGCAGGCGCATCGATCGCGCGCAGGAACAGCAAGTGCGGGGGGTGGGTGCGCAGGGGGAAGGTGCGCAGAGGGGGTGCAGCAGCCACACGGGAGGGACGCAGCTGGGAGGTGGCATCGCGGGCGCATACATATCACGTCCGACACGCGCATGCAGCGTGTTCGGAATCGGGCACGTGAGATTGCGAGGCGTGATCGTGCCCATGGCCTGCGGGAGTTTTAAAGGTCAGACTCGCGAGCTTGAGCTTGCACCCGGTGCATCGCGCGAGTATTTCGACGTGTATTGTGTACGATAATGTTCATGCGCTCAAGTTTGTTCTGCTACTGGTGCGTAGCAATTGTTCTTGATTTTACGCGCCTCCACATATTTCGGGCAGGTCGGGCTACCGCCGCGGACGGTCGGAGGAAGCACAGATTGTGGGCGCGGGCGCGCAGCGCATTACGTCCTCGGCGGCGCGAGAAGCAGGTCGTGCTGCCCGCGGGGTGCATTCTCAGAGTGCGCTGACATGCGTGTTCGGCCGAGCTATCAGCGGGCCAATGAAGTCATCGCCAGCCGACGAGGGGCAATCCCTTCACGCAGATAAACAGTCTCGACGGGCTGGAGGGAGTATAGGCTGTGATATGCTTCGGCAGAGGAGGTGCGCTGGTGAAAGGAGCAAAGCCAGGTGACCAGCCAGAATGTTTCTGCCTCGGTCCACTGTGCAGTGTACATGCCTGCGTGAACACGATATCTGCGTGCGCGTGTCAGCGTTGGTATAGAAGGGCGAGGAACGAACAGTCCTACAGGCTTCTCAAGTCGCTGCGCTACGCAAAAGCTAGATAAGCGAATACAAAGCTAGAGTGAGCAGGATGACTGCCCAACAAGCTGCCAGTTGAACGTTGAATTCCGATGTCGCTATCCAGCAATCGAAGCACACGAGCGGCAGAGGCATTCACAACCAGTACAGCAATGCTAGTCCTATCCGCGTGCGGCACGCCGCCCCGAAGCCAAATGATTCCGTGCAAACGAGCTGTAGTAGCCTATCAGCGATTAGTGCAACACCGACGAGAGTGGAATGCTTACAAGCGCGACCCGCCGCGTGTATTCGACGTTGTCGCACTCTCAAGAGCAGATCCCGACAGGTCGGCATCTGCAGCATGGACGTTGTCATATATCGCTCAACGAATCAAGTGAAGGAATCTCACCGCTGAGGTCACTGAAACTCGACGCTTCACTCACTGCACCACTCGTTGTCGCCAGTCCAGGTGTAGCATGCCGGAAGTGCTGCACATGCGTCTCCCCAATTGCGCGACCGGGCGATAACGTGGGTGGGCTGGTCCTCGGGGCACTGAGATGCCGTGGAACTGGCATCGGCGACGTAAGCCGGGCAGGCGGCTGCGGGCTCGCCTGCGTTGACGGAGCTATGGACGGAGGGGACTCCTGGCGCGAGTCTACGCTGGCACTCGAAAGACTCTGGCGACCATAGCTCCGCGCGGGCGACAAGCTCTGACGGGAGCCCGACGATAACGATGCCGCGGACGTGCTGGTCCCGGATGTCGGGCGCGCTTTGCCCTTCTGCTTCGCGCGCATCCTGGCAGGATCCGCGACAAGCCCGAGTGTATCCTTGGTCATCATGGTCTGGAGGTCTTTGAGTTTTTGCGTGAGCAGTTCCTCCCGCTCCGCCTCCTCCTCCTTGCGCGATTGCTCGTCCAAGTCTTCAGATTCGGAGTCAGATCCGCCCTCGGAAGAGGCGACGCGAGACGAGGCAGAGGATAACCGGCGGAGAGGGGTGCGCGTCCTCCTCGGGCCCGGAAGCGTGATAGTCGACGAAGTCAGTATCTTCTTTATCTGGGGCGGCGATGAAGCGGCACTTGTGGGAGGACCTATGAGAGGACTATGGACTGGTTCGGCGTTCAAAGGCGACTTGAGTTGTCCATGCGGGCGTGCGTGCCCCAGCGAACTGAGCCTAGCGCGTACGCCCAAAGGGCGAAGCGTGCTTGTGCCCGGAGTGGTGCTATACGTGCACGCTACTTCGCCCGTGGTCGAAGATGAGGAACCTCTACGCGTTTGTGTTGAGTCGCGTCGGAGGAGCTGTGGGAGGGTAGTGTCAGGAACGCGTGGAAAGTATTCGCCCTGCGTGTTGTCACGCTGAGGAGAGGGGACTGCGGGAGAAGAGAGACTGGGGATGCGGATGGCGAGTCCTTGGAGCCGGCGGAGGTCTTCCTCATATCGAGCTTGCGCACGGTAGAGAAGGTACGGAAGGGGGACACGGAGGTGGTCCGCCAGACCCTGCCCTGTATGGTTGTGACTCGTAAGCAGCTCCACCGGGCAAGATATATGACTGTGAAAGAAACGGGACTTACAGTCGGTACCGGCACCCTCGATAGCGCGGCTCTTCGCGATGACCTCCCACAGGATCTTCTCCTGCTCGGCGGTCCATTCTACCTACAGTTGCGCCTTTATCTCAGTACGTAGATGCGTACAAAGTCAATATGCGCACTCGTGGGGGGTCCGGAGGGGCATCTTCAGGACGATTATATGGGAGCCTCACGATGACTCTAACAGCCTGTGGGCACGGCATGCTGCAAGTTGAATCAAGGTCGTGGCAGGAAGCAAGGACAGGTAGGCGCCCGTCTTACCCCGCTGAAAGCAGTGCCGCCTTCCGGCCTGGTTGAGTTTGTTAAAGTTCATATCCACACGAAGGAGCGCGGGATGATATGGCATGTTACCAGCCCGCAACGTTCCAAGATAAAAACACAAACAGTGAACACGATGTAATACTACCACAACAGAGACAACCTCGCTTTCCTATCCAACACCGTCTCCACCACTCCTACGACAGTCAACGGTATCTCCTCCACTCCTACAAGGGTATTCTGGGTATCTCGGTATAGGTTCACCAGTTACACGGTTTGCATACAGGTTTCGCTTCACCGCCAGCGAAGGGGGATAGACCGGCCGCGGGTGGCATTGGGGGGAGCGGCTTGAGGCGGTCAGCCGCGTCCAGGTCGGGAGAGCCGAGTTCGACTTGAGCTTGAGCAGCCTGAGGGAGCCCTGGAGGTATGGTGAAGGAGGCCGAGTAGGGCGAGAGCGGCTCGTCGCGGTCAAAGGGGTTCGCCGGCATAGGATAGGCGCTGAGTGCGGACGGCTCGTATGGCGACTGAAGGATGGTGGGGGAGAAGGTGGACGAAGAGGGGGTCGGCGAGGTGTGCGGGAACCGGAACCTGCTGAGCATTTCGCGCTCCTTCCTGACTTCGGCAGTTTCCTGTCCGTGCGATTTGTATGCGCGCTCGGGCATAGCGACCTTGCCGTTGAGGAGGAAGGAGCGCAGGAGCTTGGTGGGGCCCAGATACGGATCCGTGGGCTTCGAACCTATGGACGCATAGTGAGAATGACATACGACAGGTGGCGGATATGTATGGATGCACTTACCAGGATCATTATCAGCCGTTTCCTCGGTGCCTTTCTCAAGGTCATCCGCGAGGTGGACGCGGATATTGTCGCGCTTCTTCTTACGCTGAGAGCACCTTGCGTAGAATGCCCGGATAGCGCGGATGGTGGGTTGAATACCCCAAGCTATGTAACAAATGAAGACAGCAATGGCAGCTGCAAGGGGCGTAAGTCAAAGATCCGGAGCATAATCAAGATACGCAACGTACCGATAGCGTATGCGTCTGCTGGACAAAGCTTGACCGATGCGGATATCGGCGTGCATTGGTCGGGCGCGTCGGCCGCAATATAGGTGTCGCGAGGGGTGTGTGGACGCATAGTGCGGGTAAGGACTGACTATAGGCTAACAAAAGAGCGTCGGGAAAACGAGCGTGGGGGTTCGGACAAAGAGCGAGGGGGCATTTGCGCTGTGGGGGCCCGAGGAGGTCCATATATGCGGCTGGCGAGGAGCAAGAGAGGCTGACTGAGACCGGGTGAGGCAATGGAAGGCCCGGATGCACGAACAAGTCTGTACGGAGCAACGAACGTGGCATGTTCACTATACGCTTCACAGCAAGCACGATCGCTGAGACAAAGGCGCATACAGCCAGCCCGAGTAGGCCAAAGCGAGTACGGGTGAAGTGGTCCTCGACGGTCCAATCAAAGGTGCTGTGGCTGCTAAGCGCCCTCAGCCACAGGCGCGTCCAACTGCGCGCGCATCACGTGCCAGCGCGTCCAAGTATATAAACCTCCGACGCGAGTTGTTGAATGCCCTCAACGCCCTCTTCTCTCGACCACCACCTCCGGAGACCCGCTCGCCAAACACCTTAGCTACCCTTTCCGCTCACTCTCACATCACCCTCCTACCTCATCGACACCAATGGCCCGTACCAAGCAAACCGCTCGTAAGTCCACTGGTGGCAAGGCCCCCCGCAAGCAGCTCGCCGCCAAGGCTGCTCGCAAGACCGCTCCGGTGAGCCCCTTTCTTCCGCGTCCACCTCCGACTCCCTCCAACACAACATACATAGGCCGCCGCCGGTGGTGTCAAGAAGCCCCATCGCTTCCGCCCGGGTACCGTCGCCCTCCGTGAGATCCGTCGGTACCAGAAGTCCACCGAGCTCCTCATCCGCAAGCTGCCCTTCCAGCGGTTGGTCCGTGAGATTGCGCAGGACTTCAAGGTGAGCCACCGCCCCCGAACATCATGTCGCCAGCCAGGTGTTGACAGCGTGTTTCAAGACGGATCTCCGTTTCCAGTCCTCCGCCGTCATGGCCCTGCAGGAGGCTGCTGAGGCCTACCTCGTCTCCCTCTTCGAGGACACCAACCTTGCGGCAATCCACGCTAAGCGTGTGACTATGTAAGTGGCTGCTTTGTCGCGTCATGTCTGATTCGGGACCGACATTGACTCTTTCCTCCACAGCCAACCCAAGGACCTCGCGCTTGCGCGCCGCCTCCGTGGTGAGCGTGCGTGAGAGTTTTACGACTCGCTGTCTGTTGGATTGAGGCTGCCGTGCCTACATCGCGTGTTGTATGATTATATTACCCTACTTGCATTCCCGTCTCTCCAACCACCACCCACATGCCTATATGCTGTTCGTCTATTATGTAGGAACAGGACAATGAATGCATTTCATTTAAACGGCCTTACCTGATGTGATTTGGCTTCCGTAAATAGCTGAACTCTATGCGTTTCCAATAGTGATGTGATATAGGTGGCGTACATTACAGGAATGACACAGGCGTTGAGTAGCATATCCAAGAATGGCTAGCGGGCACGCCGGAGCTACACTGCGGTACACATGAAACTAGACACCACCGCCGCTCTTTTCGACCGGTATCCGGAGGCGCTCCGTCTTCTCCTTGCTGGACGGCGCAGGCGCAAAGAGCACTTCGCGCAGCTCAGCGCAGATCTACACCAAAAATGGTCAGCGACCGGAAATAAACCCGTAAATGCGCGGAATCGCCACATACCTCGACGAACTCGTCAAAGTCGACGTCCTTGTTCGCCTTGAAGCCCGCCTCCTCGAGCACATAGTCAAAGTCCTTCTGGCGCACGCCCTCGAACCCCGCCAGCCCGCGCACAAGCTCAAACACCTCGCCCGTGCCCAGCCGCTTCTCCGCGCGCTCCGCCGGGACACGCGCCCCAAACGCCCCATGGAGCGCCTCGACCTCGCCCGCCGCAAACTGCGCGCGCGAGTACACCATCTGCTCCGGGCGCGCGCGCGCGCTGTGCCGGATCCCCAGCACGTCCTCGACGCGCTCGACGACGCCCTTCGCATCCTGTGCGGCGCGGCGCGAGACGGCCCCCGGGGCGAGCCCCATGCTGAGCAGGAACTCGGTGCCGGCGGCGGTCTCGGCCTTGGCGCGCGCGGCGGACCAGTGCAGCTCCTCGGCCATGAGCTCGACGACGCGCGGGAGCGCGTCGAGCGCGGCTTGCGCGTTGAGGAAGGAGAGGCGGCAGCGGCGCGCGATGACGTCGATCGCGGTCTGTGCGTATTCGTTGCGGACGGCGTAGCGGACCTCGGCTTCGATGACTGATGCGGGTATAAATGAGATGTTAGGGTATATGAGCGTTAGGGGACGTACAGGGGTAGCCGGGCGCGAGGCGGATGCCGTGGAGGGGCCATGCCTTGCCGGTGGGCATGGCAAGCGAGCAGATCGTCCACGCACGGTCACCGTAGTTCTCGGAGAGGTGCTTGGCGACCTCGGTCTCAAGACCGTACTGATAGTGCTATCAGCATGCGTACGAGTCGGGAGGAAGAGAAGAAAACATACACGCTGCACGAGGCCGATGAACATGTTGCGCGACCAGCCGTCGCTGCCGACGAGGCGCAGCTGCTCCGTAACGCAGCCCCGCTTCGGCTTGAGCGCGAAGACCTCGACGGCCTTGTCGACGGTCTCCTCCGCCATCGAGCGGTACGTCGTCCACTTGCCGCCGGCGATCGTGAGCAGGCCGCTGTCGCTGACGTGGATCATGTGGTTGCGCACGAGGCCCTCCGTGCTCGCCGCGTTCGGGTTGCGCACGAGCGGGCGCAGGCCGGACCACGCGCTGAGCACGTCACCGCGGCGCACCTTGATGTCCGGGCTGAGGTAGCGGCGGACCTCCTCGAGGATCCACCGGATCTCCTCCTCCTGCGGGAGCGGCGTCGCGGTGACCTCCGCGGGCGTGTCCGTCGTGCCCGCGATTGTGTTCCCCTGCCAGGGCAGGAAGAAGATCACACGGCCGTCGGATGTCGCGGGGTCGAGCAGGCCCATCGTGCGCGGCGAGTAGTAGTTCGGGAGCGTGATATGCGTGCCCGAGGACGCCTGCACAATGGGGGTGTGCGCCGGGTTATCCATCGTCAGGAGCGCGTCGGAGAAGGGCCCGGTCGCGTTCACGACGCCCTTTGCGCGGATGTCGAACTCCTTGCCCGTGAGTGCATCGCGCACACGCGCACCGTGGAGCTTGCCTCCGGCGCCGTCCTTGTTGAGGACGGTGACCTCGACGTGGTTGGCGACGATGGCGCCTTGCTGAACAGCGGTCATGATGAGGGCCATGTTCATGCGAGAATCGTTGTGTTGACCTGTCGGGGCGAAAATCAGCTGGGCACGTCGTTGATTTTCTATCTGGCTTACCGTCGTAGTAAACCAGTGCACCGACGAGACCGTCCTGCTTGAGCATGGGGAAGGTTTCGAGAGCCTTGCCTTTGCTCATGAGGTACGAAGACTCCATGTTCTCCTTCCCGGCCAAAACATCGTACATCTTGCAGCCAGCCCAGTAGTAGGGCACCTGCCAGTACCTATGATCGTACCATTAGTCACAAGTAAATTTGTCTAACTTGCACGTTTGCTTACTTGTAGATAGGCAACATGATGGGAAGCATCGCAGAGAGGTAGGGTGCCGTTTGCAAGAAAATCTTGCGTTCGTGCAACGCCTCCCGCACCAGCTTGTATTGCTCATAGTCGAGCTCCATAATAGCCTTTTGCAGGTAACGAACACCCCCATGAACAAGTTTTGTTGACTTGGAGGAGGTTCCTGCAAAGAGGGTATTAGCCACTGCATATCGCGTCGAGGAAGAAGCAGCCGAAGTAAATGAAGCAGGAACCGATCCGAGTCGCCGGTGTCGGGCGCTCCGTGTCGGCACAAGGACTTGCACTCCCTCTCACCACCCCTGATGCCAAAAAACTAGAACATATCGTATCTCTGACACGAAGCAACGCCCTGGGGCACCCTACATTCCCGACACTCCCCACGCCCACACGCGCAGCGGGTATGTGCAGATCGCCGAGAATTTCCCAGCCCATGCAATGACGGACGTTTGCGAAGAGATACGGTACGCACCTGCACTGAAATCATCCCGCTCAACCAGCGCGACCTTCAGGCCTCTGCTGGCAGCGTCCACGGCGACACCCGCACCCGTCGCACCACCACCGACGATGAGTAAGTCAAATTCTTCCGCCGGGTTAGTAGATGAGGCCTTGAGCGCATCGAGCATCTGCTCGCGCGAAGGAGGCGTCCATGGGGGTGGTGGCCGACGGGTTTCCTTGGTAGAGGGGGGGTAGGTGGGCCCCGAGTTGAGGAAGTAGTATCCGCCTGCAGCAGAAAGGGCAGTAGCCCCTCCAACTGCTGCGAGGGTACGGCGGGAAACGAGTTTGCGAAGCATGGCCTCCGTCGCTCAGCGAAGAGTGTAAGGAGGGCTGCTGGTGCCTGCGAGAGGGAAGGCTGGGATGGGAGACGGACGGGGTCGACGTCGGTGAGAGAGGAGGAGGAGGCCGGGCGGAATGTTTATTGCGTCGGGACAGGGCATCGGACTTGTGTCTGGTCCACTGCTCATGCGTTCTTCCGCCCGCCCTCCCCCTCTCTGCCCAATCGGCCCGCGGCCCGGCATCCCGGCATCCCTATCTGGGTGCTTCGGCCCGCCTTTCCAATCACCGCGGGCCCCCTCTGGCGCCCTCCCTCCTGCATCCATCTGCGCCCGCCGATCGGGCGACTCCGACGAGGCTCTCACTCAGTTCGCTGGCGTGCAGGGGTTGGCAGGGTTGGCCAGAGTCGGGACTTAGCGGGAGGCAATGTTCACCGCTTCCAATCCGTATATGTGCTGTGTCTCACATGAAACCCTAGGGATACGTTGACGGCGACCGCGGAAGTCAATAATAAGAGCCTGAGCCCTTCGGGTCGTTCTCAGCCCTAGGTCTATTCCGCCAGTGGGCTACAAGCACGTATACCTCGTCCTCACTATAAGTACTGGTCAGTTGATTCCTTCATTCGATGCTTGAGCTCTTTGAAGAAAGGTTCGTTACGCACACTGGTTCGCGCCGTCCTCCCTTCTGACATCTTTCTGAACAGGAAGGCACACAAGGCCGTGTTCGGATCTCATACGATGGACAATGTGCGGATGGGCTGTGAGTACACGTATGATCCCAGTCGCGAAGCTGTTGGTGCCAGAGCGCACGCTGGCGCACGGCGCCGCGACTGTTGACTCCTGGCCTCCAGCGTTATGCGGATTATACGCGCTGAGATGTTCAACTCCGGTTTGTTCCTCGTCAAAATCGCTGACCTGCCCACTTGCAATGCAGCCGTCATGCAAAGAACACTCGCCATAAGCGAAGTCACTACGAACATATGCGCACACCTTGATGGACCAAGCTTAGCCTCCATGGCCATCGTCAGCAAGATCCTTCACGAGCCTGCGGTACGAACACTATGGGCGGACCTTCCTGATCTCGTACCTCTCGTCATGGCCTTTCCCGATGACGCCTGGGAGACGCAGGGGTATCAAATTGTAAGCAATGGAGCACAGCTACTGTGGTCCGTCGTTAAGTTCACATCTGTAACTTCTTGATCGCCTTCAGCACCTTTCGCGCGCACTCTCGCTTCCGGATTGGACGTCCTTCCTCAAGTACAGCCGGTTTGTGAAGACACTGGGTCTTGTGCCACGGCACGAGTCAGATGACTACTGCGCTAGCCCGCCGGACTCGAAGGCCACGACAACTGTTATTCGCCCCACCCATCTTGACTGCCTGTTCGAGTTCGTACGGCTTCGCTCCTTCGACTTCAGCCCGTCGTGGGTGTACCAGGTTGACGATGAACTATTTGCCTCCATGGCGAAAGCGTGGCCCCGGCTGGAAGGACTGTCGTTTGGCGATGCCTCGGCCTGCACTCATCTCCCCGGAGGGCCAACGCTGCGGGCCCTTCCGCCACTCGCCGTCCACTGCCCTCGCCTGAAGACCATCGCGCTCCACCTAGACGCTTCCGAGCTCTCCGCCGATGACCAAGTGCCGGGAGATCTCTACCGTGAGCTGTGGGTCGACGGTCGCCGTGTGCAGAGCACCTCCAAAGTGACCGGTTTGCGTCTGCAGGCGTCGCCGCTCGGCCTTCCTAGGGAGGTCGCCAAGTTCTTGTCCATGGTCTTCCCGGACTTAGAGCGAGTAGATGCATCGGGCTCGTTTTATGAAGAGACATCTGTAAGCCGGACAGTGCGGCAGACACGCCAGCGGAAATGGGGGGAGGTACGACAGTATATTGGCATGATGCGGGCGGCACGGTTGGACGAACGCTAGCCTAGCAGAGCTATGGTTTTGTTCCTGCGATTCGATTCTCCGTTAGCTTTTTGGAATCAATTGCTATACTCTTGTGTTGGCGTCGGCCCCTGTGTCGAACTTGCAAGTTGAGGTTGTGCTTCACGGTGGTGATCGAGTAGACGGTACCGTGGTCGGCGCTTAATATGAAACCGCGCTTTCCGCCGACGTCACGGTCTGCGATAGCCCCTTTCGTCTTCCCGCCATCCTTGTACTTGAGGTCTGTACAAACCCGCATATGTCGGCGTTGAAACTTGTGAAAATAAAGATACTGACTTGGGAAACCTGCTAGCAGCCTATACATCCTCCACTTGAAGTAGCTGCAGCCAGTGCTGAGCAGTGCCGTTTAGCGCATCCGAACGGTCGCTGGAAGGTTGGCATCCTTGAAGACTGCTCCGTCACTATAGAAGCAGGTATCGTCTTCGCCATAATACTCTAACAATTATCTTCTAATATTTCCGCGTTCTTTTGTAAAGAACCCCTATCTATGCACCCAGCACTCTATGTGGCCGAAATTGCTCGACTCGTCTGCGACAATGCCGATCGAGCTACCCTCGCTACTCTCTCCGTGTGTAGCCGTACGCTCTACCAAGATGCAATGCCGACTCTCTGGAGTGAACTCGGTAGTCTTGTGCCTCTCGTAGCGCTTCTGCCGAGTGACTCCTGGGTAATAGAAAACAAACTTCTAGTATGTTAATCGGTTATCACTGGCATACCACTGTGCTCATTAATGCATGTGCGTCTACCAGAGAATCACGCGCCCGCTCTTTCCAAACGATTGGACCGCCTTCCTGAAGTTGGCAACCTACGTCAAGGCTCTGAAGCCGCCACTTATGATAGAATCCATGCTCGGCAGGGACGCTCTTCAAGCTCTTGCAGTCCACCGACCTCAGATCATCCTCTTCCCCAACCTTCGTCATCTGAACCACTGGGCATTAGGAGCCTCGCACGAATATCTCCCTGAATTCCTAGCTATGGTCGGCCCGCAACTCTCCCACATCCGCATGGAGAGCTTCTTCACCCCTGACAAACTTCGGCAGTCGCTCATTTCTGTAACTGGGTTCACCAGACTTCGGGAGTTTGCTGTGGGCGCGCACCACGAAGATGGAAACCTCCAGCATATGCCAAACCCGCTCGACCTGTCTTCCGCTTGGATCACCGCCTGCCCCTTGACGCGGTTCGAATGCGATAAGCTGGCTCTTGCGGAGGGCGCGATCCGTGCCCTCTCTACAGTTCAGACCTTGACGCATCTCCATGTTCGCCTTCCCCCCACTTCGAAGTTTTCCCTCATCCACTCGTCCGATAGGCCGTTCCTGAGCCTTCAACTGCTGAAGATCGTCGCAACGCCCAAAGCATATGTGTCCTTCACTGACGCTGTTGGAGCTCTCTCCAACGTGTGCGACTTCGAGCTGCATCTAGACCCAGAACCCGCCAACAGCGTCTCTCCACGCAGGCTTTTCGCATCTATGGCGTCCTCGCTCAACCCGGAGACGATCACTATAATACTTGTCTGCGCACATGATGAGAACGGCACGCTGGACCCAAGCGACCTGTCGATTGACGAGCCGATTCCCTTCAGCTCCGAAGACTTCCGGCCGCTGCTCAAGCTGAAGAACCTGCAAGACGTGAACATCGCGCTGCCCTGGGTCTTCGACTTCGACGACGCATTCCTCACGGAAGTCGCCCAATCGTGGCCCATGCTATATACCTTCTACCTCGGGACCGAGCCATACTGCAAGTGGGCGCCGCTGCCCCGGGGTCTCACTCTGGGGGCCCTTCCTCCCTTCGCGGTGCATTGCGAATACATGGAGGAGCTCGGATTCCGGTTCAACGCTACAGGCTTCGAGCACGGGATCCCGCCGGACTCGCCCCTCTATGGCAAGTTGCGGGACGTATCCTCGTGCAGCAGGTCGGCCTTGTCCTCTCTGCATGTCGCCACGTCCCCCATTTCCCACACTGCCGAAGTGGCCAGCTTCCTCAGCTGCGTGTTCCCGGAGCTGGAGAAGGTGGTGACCGGCGCATTTGCGAGCGCGCCGGCCCATGCCGATGCGTTGTCGTTCAAGGAACGCTGGGAGGAGCTCTCGCGGTACCTGCCGGCGATGAGAGTAATTCGCAATAACGAGCGCAAGAGGGCGGAGCTCGACGAGCACGACGGATGGATGGACGAAGAGCGGGACGCTGCAGAGGATGAACTTGTACCAGTGGAGATGCTTATAGATTGACGTCGGCACACGTTTCACAGGTGCGCAAAGTTGGGCATTTTCAGATTGCGAGCGAGAATCTCACCGGACTACCAGCACGTAACGGCGCTGTTGCAGAAGCGTATGGGTTCCGGGTGCGCAACTTTAGGCCATGGTAATATATTCGGTATGTATGAATGAGTGTCGTACTATTCAAGACGGCGAGGGCTGCTGGATGACCCCTTGAGCCATGAGACCATCGCGCTCTGATGGTATCGTGTTCCCGAGAACGCGTGCGCCGTGTAAACAGTGTAAGAGCGGTACAGCGAGCAGGAGAATGACACGGACGTTCCGGTGGCACATGTTCAGTGGCGTGCAGCTCGAAGTTGAGACAACGCTGCTCCTTGGCGTGACACTGGCGCACTGCTAACGTCTGTGACTGGCTTCGGCGCCTTGGGACGAAATGGGAAGCGCCGCGGTCACAGCCATAAACAGGCACATATTGGCGCCGGCGCTGCTGAACTCAACGCTCACTGCACCTTGGCTACATCTCCCGCCAACTCGAAGTTGAACCAGGGCATACCCGATATACACGCTACAACATCACATAGTAAGTCCTGGCTCGTTAGATTATTTTATATATAGTCTCTCGCACGCGTCGACGACTCGGCCGTTTACCCTCACGTCCAGTGGGAGGTGCCGCAGCCGTGTCTGAGAGGAAGGGGGAATTAACAGTGTCCCCGGAGATCCCCTCGCTTGTACCATTTTGGAGTTCTGGTAACCACACTGTTACACACCGCGCTCGCGTTCAAGTGCTATTATAAGAATTTCTCCGACTTGTTCATTTTACAGGATACGTCGCTTACCTCCCTTTCTCAGCAGCTCGACTTTAGAAATGCATCAAGTACTGTTGATCAGCGAGCTATCAAGAAATATCTGTTCCTTCTTGGATCCAGCAAGTTTGGCCGCACTGGCAGCGTCTTGCAAACCCTTGAACAGTCCTGCTTCACGTGCCCTGTGGGCCGATATACCGGATCTCACAGCCGTGGTAAGGCTATTGCCTAAGAATTCATGGGTCATCGAGGGCAAGAAGCTTGTGGGTGCCATCTTACGGACCCGCGTCTAATGAAGACTATCAGCTTATTACCTCTGTTCAGAAACTCACTCGGGTACTCTTACCAAGTGATTGGGACCGTCTGCGCGCCCAAAGCGAATTCGTCAAGACATTAGGTCGCCTCCCTTTGGGTCGTCCAGGCGATTGCATCACTCTAGACGACAACTCTTTTACACGTTTCTGCGCACAGAAGCCCGTCATGGTCCTTCTACCGCGATTACGCAGCGTCAACTGGCATGCACTGCGTCTGCCGGACGGGTGCCTGCCCATGTTTACGTTGATTCTCGGGTCGAATCTCCGCAACGCTTCCATCAGCACCAGGGGCAAAGACGTAGATGCTGAAGCTGCGGTCGCAGGGGCGATCGCAGTGCTCTCGCAAAATTCCCCGCATTTGCGCCAACTTCATTTGGAAGTTTCTTCGAGGCAACAGCATGCAAGTCAAAGCATCTCCTCCGCTCTGGCGGACGGCATTTCGTCCTTCCACCACCTTGTCGAACTCAACTGCCCCTCGGTCCCACTGACGAACCAGGCCTTGTACGCGCTGGCCTCTCTTCAGGACCTGGCGGAATGTGCCCTCAGATTACCCCAAATCTACGAGCGGTCAACCAGCCGTATTCAACCCCGCCCGTTCCCGGCCCTCAAGCGGCTCTCCATCGTTGCAAGTGCAGAGGCATATGCGGAGTTTAGCCGCGCGTTTTCGTGCCCTCAGGTCACATCGTTCGACCTCGACGTCCTCGCAGTCCCCGAGTCCCAGGCTATACCAGAGCTCTTCTTGGGCATTCGGCGACAGCTGCATCCGGAGGTTCTAGAAACGCTAGCCGTGTACATGTCTCCTGATATCGTGTTGACGGAATCCATGGTTCTAGGAATGGGTGCGGTCGTGCTCCCGGACCACTTCGCCCCCCTCCTGGACTTCGCGCGTATCACAACGTTCGAATTCAACCCCCCATGGGCGTACAGGGTCAGCGACGACCTGATCTTCGACATGGCCCAGGCATGGCCTTTTCTGGAAGACTTCGCTCTCGCCAACAGCCCGTTCTGCATCCAGCTGGAATACGGGGCCACCCTGAAGTCACTCGCCGCCTTCGCGGCGCATTCGCCCGTCCTCGAAGCCATCGCTTACCCCTTCGACGGAATCGCCGGTCGGACCGAGGGCGGGGCGATACCAGACGAATTCTACGGTGGCCTAGTCGTCGACGGCACGGCGATTTCGAGCAACTCAATAGTGACAGACCTCATCGTGCAGCGGTGCCCCGTTGCGGACCCAGCACAAGATGTCGCCGTATTCCTCTCGGTGCTCTTTCCGGTGCTCAAGGCGGTCGACGTCTGTGAGGCGACCGTTCACGACCCACGTTACCGGGACGAGTATCGTGCAATTTGGAGAAAAGTGTCCGAGTGCATTGATTGGATGGGTGGGGGTCAGCGTCAGGTCGCATAGAATACGCGGGCAAGCTGCTCGGATTTGAAGGGGAGTGCATCGGCGCGCCTGCTCAGAGCGGTGACAAGTAGTACTGTACATAATATCGTATAGGTTCAAGTTGAAAGTAGGATATATGTCATATTTCGGACTCCCCCCTGCTTGGGTATAGGGGTAGACGCGATAGCGTGAGATGTCAGATCTGAGATAAGTAACTGAGCGAGTTAAAGAAAGAGCACTGCTACGAAGCGCGCAACGCCGGCGTCTCCGCTGGCAGTCGGACCAGGCTAAGTACTTGTCACCTTCGTCCTCGACACCAACGTTTTCAAGCTGTATACCCCCTGGAAAACGGCGCCACAAACTCTTCCATAAACTAGTGCAAGGTCGGTGTCGCTGGTGTCGCTGAAGGACCGCCGTTGACTCTGCATCATCAGGGTACAAATTAAATAACGAAGCTACGAGTGGTTGTCCGCGACGGTTTCACGTCTCGGGAGGCCCTCGACCTGTGTCCTAAAGGAACCCCGAAGCTTTGAGACCTGTGGGCATCTTGACTGCACGAGCGTTCTGTGTCAGGAAGGCGCCGCGTTCCCAGTGCTCGGGAGACGGCAGACGTACAGGTCTTGATTTGTGCGCCCTGAAGCAGCGACCTCGCTGGCAATATCAAAACTCAAACGCGCAGTTGGTAGCCATTCAAAATGCATATCTTTTTGCGGTACTGACTACTGTATTCTTTTACATCGACAGAAGAGATGCACAGAGCACTCTACGTTGCGGAGATTGCTAGGCTCGTCTGCGACAATGCGAACCAGTCTAGCCTAGTGGCACTCGCCCGATGTTGCAGCGCCTTGCACCAGGAAGCGATGACCGCGCTCTGGAGGAAACTCGACACCCTTGCACCTCTCGTATCGACCTTGCCCAGCGACTGTTGGGTGATCGAAAAGCGTGAACAGGTAAATTACTCCGCCGTTAGCTCCAGAGTCGTCGCAGCTGACGTTCATGCGCCTGTCAGAGACTCACACGTCCTCTGATTCCCAGCGACTGGACTACCTTTCTGAAGCTGGCCGCCCATGTTCGAAACCTGGCTCCCCCCTACCGACGACTCTTAAGGTATAGCGACACGTCAGTAGCCGACGCAGTACTTCGAGCGGATGTCATTTCCACCCTCTGCAAACAACGACCCCAAACGACCATCTTCCCAAACCTTCGTTCGCTCGACCAGGAGGCCTTGGCCCGTTCATTTGAACAGATCGCCGACTTTCTGCTCATGGTCGGGCCACAGCTCACTCACCTTCGCATGGGCCGCTTCAAGTCTCCTGGGCAACTGTTACGGGCACTCATCATTGTCTATACGCGGTTCTTGCAACTCCGGGATTTCTCAGTAGGTGTGGCACTCTTGGCCGACCTTCAGGACATGCCCACCTCTCTTAGTATATCCCCGGCGTGGATCACTGCTTCTCCCTTGGTGAGATTTCACTGCGACCAACTCGCATTGACGGAGGAAACGATCGGTGCCCTATCGACATTGGCTACTCTCGAGGAACTTTCTGTGCGCCTTCCCGACAAGGACTCGTTCCCTCATATCAACATCGCCTCTTCGCCGTTCTCCAAAGTGCGGGTTCTAGACGTCGTCGCAACGTCAAATGCGTACGTGGCCTTCGCCAGTGCCGTCGGGATTTTTCCCTGCGTGCGCGAGTTTATACTACGGATTGTATACGACGAGCCCAACACCATCCCCCCGCACCAGCTGGTCGACACCATTACCGCATCCCTAGTCCCGGAGCTGGTCATCCAAATCTCCGTCAGCGCACACGACATGGACGACGCGTTGGACACCGCAGCGCTGCCGATCGAGATACTCGTGTTCTTCCGCGCAGCCGCCTTTCGGCCGCTCCTCAAGTTCGCGCGGATGTACCAGTTCACCTTCACGCTCCCATGGGTACACGACGTCGACGACGCGCTCCTCCTCGACGTTGCCAAGGCGTGGCCCGAGCTGTCGACGTTCTACCTCGGAACCGAACCCTACTGCATGTGGATGCCGCCGTCCAACTGCCCGACCCTCAGGTCCCTCCCGCCGTTCGCGGTGTACTGCCCCGCCCTGTCCGAGCTCGGGTTCCAGTTCAACGCCATGGACGTCGAGGTGGGCAGGATCACGCCGAGCTCGGAGCTCTACGGGGAGCTGCGGGCTTCTTCCTCGTGCAGCCGCTCGGTCCTGTACTGGCTGCAGGTCGCGACGTCGCCCATCGCGTACCCGGCGCAGGTGGCGGGCTTCATCAGCTGCGTCTTCCCGGAGCTGATGGAGCTGAAGTACAGCTCGTTCATGGACCTGGGAGACGTAGGGGCGACGCTTGAGGCCCGTTGGGATGAGGTCTCCCGGGTTCTTCCCGTTCTGAAACTGGTGCGCGAAAACGAACGCAAGAGGGTCCAATTCGACGAGGTGGATGGATGGCCGGGTGACGACACTGAAAGTGGTGAGCAGCCTCTACATTAGTGTGTATCTGTATGTGCTAATGCGAGTGCTATGTCGCTTACAGCTGTGTCCGTTGAAGACACGCCGTGAGGAAAAGGAGTACATCGCGAGTGCGCTTTATTGCTAATTTACACTACTACTACTGTCATATATTGCGAGTCTAGATCTAAGACATCATACCATCGGCCACTCGGTGAACACGCCTTGTCCAAACCTGAAGAAGCTGATCGTGCCTGCGTCCACCGCCGCGATGACCACCGTCTTGTTGCCCATCTTCAAGGACGGAAACGGGTTCGGCGGGCGCGCAGGGGGTGCCGCTTTTGTCGTCGACCAAGGCCATACCCAAGCTATTGCTCTTCGCGCGACTGACGGCTCCGGAGCAGGCGGAGTTTTTGACGAGGGATTTGTCGGCGCTTTTGAAGATGCAGCGGCCGCCTTCTGCTGTGCAAAGGAGACTCGTTTTCGTGGCGCGGGGGGCGGTAGCACGGGGAGTTCACCGAACAAGGCTGTGAGCTCGGATATAGTTGGCATCGGCGAGGCTCGGGCACTACGAGAAGTGATCAGCGCGAACGACTGCGCAAGGAAACGTATGTGCTTACTTGACGACAACAACGGAGAAATCTGGTGGTGGAGGCGCTGTCTTCTTGAACGGCGTGGAGGGTTTATAGAGATGGTAGAAAACCTGGTAGGGCGATGGAGGCGTCTCAGGCGTTTGCTGGATGTGTAGCGGGGCGCTATGTCCCGAGGGGAGAAATCGGAGGGACTTGAACAGTGATGCTAGTTCAAAGCGTGAGCGGGTGAGTGAAACGAACCGTGCGCGAAACTCACTGTTGTTTATATGATGGTGTAACCAGCCATTGGGGCGAAGGGGCTGCCACCAGTCCAAACTGCCAGCGAACACCCGAGTCATGCGTGCAAGCAAGGAGGCAACCGCGTTATACAGCCTTCCAAAAATAGAAGCTGGCGTACGGGCAGTGGGTGAATGGGGAGGCGGAACGGGATAATCTGAGGTCGGTGGTTTCGCTCGTGTCACAACGTATCCCAGTCGTCTGAGATACGCATAGACCTGACAGGATTTTAGTTCAGTGTTCCGCTTCTGTGATCCTGACAACGTACCTGGTACTTCTCGGACGTGAGGTCGCAGCTGCCGATCATTTCGGCGTAGGCCTGTTGGGCGGACATGGGTACTCCCTCCATGTCGTCCAGGTGCGCAGTTGGTCGTAGAGGCAAGTCCGTCGGCTTCCAGCAAAACATCGCGCCTCTCTCCACCAGATATAGCGCCTCTTCCGGAAGAAGTTCAAGGCGTTTCTGCACCTTCCTCGCGTCCTCAGAGCTTGTAGACGGCCGCGCGACCGAATGTCCCATCGTGGAGAAGTGAATCCCCCGTGCTACAGTGACGTGCGCCCTCGCGAGGCCCGGGTACCAGATGCCATGGCTCACGGATTTGCTACACGCATCGTCAGTACAAGTTCACCCTTCGCGCAAAAGAAGCCGACGTACTGCGCGATTGTGCGGGTGCCCTTTAAAGCGTCCAGCATCGCCGAGCGCGAGCGATCGAGGACATGCTTCTGCAGCCCAGAGCCACCTTGCGCGGTAGGCTCGAAGTCTTTTTCTCCTCTCTTCGGTATGACTGGCCGCGCCGCCGGGAGGCCGCTGCTATGGAATTAAGACATGCTTACATCCCTGGGCACAGCGCGAGGACATACGGGATCTTTGTCCAGTCAGGGCCCTGGTCCTCGTCTCCTGAAGAATTCTCTTCCTCCTCGGTTTCCTGCGGCACGTCAGGCTTGGGCGCCGCGGTTGGCATTTCCATCGTATCATCCATCGTATGCTCCCTATCTGCTGCGCGATCAGAAGAGAATAGCAGTGTATCGGAGGTGCAGAGAGAAGCCAAGGAGCGCGTTCGGCCGAAGTGGGCGAGGGTACTGTGCAAGTCGCGAGGATGACTCCAGGGCGCGCGACGCGACGCGCTCACACAGTGCTCACGCTCTCCATCCGCCACCACACACTCGCGCCCTCCGTCCGCGATGTCTGCACAATCTTCGCCGACATTTTACCAGTCGTTAGCGGTACGCATGGCATGTCAGAGATGCGATAAACGTTGAAACGAGTCGCACAGGCTGGCGGACTTGCCGGGACAGCGGTCGACCTGCTGTTCTTCCCCATCGACACCGTGAAGACGCGCCTTCAATCATCGCAGGGGTTTATAAGTGCCGGCGGTTTCAAGGGGGTCTACAAAGGTGTTGGGAGCGTGGTGGTTGGGAGCGCGCCTGGAGGTATGTATCCTGTCCCCACTCGCTCAGTGAACGCGCGGGAGCTCACTTAGCTACCAGCCGCGGTCTTCTTCTGCACCTACGATACGCTCAAGAAGACCATCCCCCTACCCTCTGAGTATGCGCCAGTCACGCATATGATAGCCGCCTCTATGGGCGAGGTGGTGCGCGCGAGACCGCTTCGTCTAAGGTTGGGTACCTACTGATATGTCTAGCGCGGCGCGCGACTAGGCGGCATGCTCTATACGCGTCCCCACTGAAGTGATCAAGACGCGGATGCAGACGTCGACATACGGTGCCGCGGCGCAGTCGTCTTTGACCGCCGCGAGGTTGGTCATGTCCACCCAGGGCATCCGCGGTTTCTACAGAGGCTACGGCTCTACAATCATGAGAGAGGTCCGTATAGTCCTGCTCGCCTTCGTTACTTCGTGACTAACTCAAGCTTTCAGATTCCCTTCACATCACTACAGTTCCCTCTATACGAGCTACTGAAGAATCGTCTGGCACGAATTCTGGACAGACCGCTGCACGCGTACGAGGCAGCCGTGTGCGGTAGCTTCTCGGGAGGCGTAGCAGCCGCCCTCACAACACCTCTAGACGTCCTGAAGACTCGCGTGATGCTCGATCTACGAGTGCGTTGCCACGTTTCTAACAATTGCTGATGCTGACCGCCTCGGTGTAGGACTCGGCAAAGCACGCGCAGCCGTCACTGGCTACACGGTTTCGCGAGATATACACGGTAGAGGGTCCAAAGGCGCTATTTGCGGGCGTCGTACCACGAACTCTGTGGATATCTGCTGGCGGCGCGGTGTTCCTGGGCGTGTATGAATGGGCCGTTCATTCGCTGATGGGTTCGCCTTAGGGATTCGGGGGACACTTCACTACTATTAGATATCCATACATCGTAGCGTACATTCATAGACTACACTATACTCCTTCTGACTACAAGATCCGCGCATAAAGATATCCAAGGCGAGTAACACGACGAGAATCGGGTATAGCAACAGTAGCGCAAGAGCAATATCCGAGGTTCAAGACAACAGATCTAAAAATCACACCCCGGGCGCAGGTCCCAGCTTGAGGATGACCCGCGGCAGTTTTTTCGACGCCGACTCGCCACCTGCCTTCTCTGAACCCGACCCGCTCGTGATGTCCGTCAGGTCGCTCTCGGACCCAGAAGTGGATTTCTTCGTACGCTCTACGTTCTTCGCCACGCCCTTCTTGCCGGGTGAGGTCGCGGGACTAGCCTTCGCACTGGCAGTGCTGGCGGCACTCTGCGGCTTTCGGTCTCGAAGGGTCCGGTTGGACGGGGGTATGGGCGCGCGGGGAACAACAGGAACCGTGTGCGACGAGTCGATCGACGCGAAAAGCTCCACCGTGCGCGCGAGCCACGGTTCAGGTGGGGCGGTGTTGGACGGTCGCCCGCCTCTGCGCTTCTTCGTTGCAGCCTCAAGCTGTACATCACATTAGTGCGAACGGTATGCGCATGTAGAGCGGGACGTACTGCAGTAAGGTTCTCGAGACTCCACCACTTCTCGTCTACGCCAATGTTTCCGGTGTCGACAAGGCCAGCGAGGTGTGCCATGGCGCCGCTCGTGAGTGCACGGTCGCTGTAGCCTCCTTCTAGAACGCTGATGAGCCGGCCCTGCGCGTACTGCTCTGCGAACGCGCGCGCGTCTCGGGCGAAGCGGTGGTAGAACGACGCGGGCACCTTCCGCTGGTGGCGCGACATCGAAGGGTACTCGTGTTCGCATGCATCGAAGCCGCAACTGATAAAGACCAGGGTGTCGTCACGCATCCCGCCCGTGCTTTCGATGAACTCCCCGGCCTTCTTCAATAGGCGCAGGTACTGCGTGGGGTACAACTTATCCCAGAACTCCTGCTCAGACGCGTACGGCTGGAGGTGAATGTTCTCCACATGTTGCCCATGCGGACCATGGATGGACACGGAAGCGGCTTGGATGAGCTCCGCTTTCCCGTCCTCGCACGGGTAAGAGAGGATATCGTGTATGCTACCGTAGTAGACTTGAAGACCTGGTTTGTCGGCGGGTGCGCCCTGCTCGGCTTCGAGCTGTTTACGGTAGGTCTCTTCGTTGATTCCCCATGCGATAGCTTGCGTGCCGTTCCCTGTGTAGAGGTAGATTCGTGTTAGTGAGCCATCTTCATGTTGTGGACGGGATGTTTAGGCTGACCATGATGTAGATCGATGTCGAAGATGATTACGCGGTTGATGTTGTGCTTCAGGTGAGCTGTGTTGTTACACAGATGATCTTGAGTACGCCTATAGTAATCTGACAAGGAGTACGTACCGTGCGCTGCTCCGACTGCGACGTTATTCACAAAACAGAAGCCTGAAGGCGTATCCTGCAACCGTGAAGCTCAGTGGCAGTAATTGTACATATGGATTATTCTCATACCTCTCCGCAGTGGTGCCCTGGTGGGCGGACCGCAACAAATGCTTGACTGGGTTGTCGCGAATCGGCAGAGGAGCCCGAGGTCGCCTGGGACGCCTGAAGAACCGCGTCGACTGCTTCGCATACAGTCCCAAGAGCACCCTGTATAGCGTCTAGTGACCCTGGTGACACTACAACACGCGTTAATAGAGCGCCGAGACCGACTCAATGTGGCTAACTTACAGTAGAGGTCGCCCTGTGAGTAGCCCTCGGGGATTTCGCTTTCTCCTTTATTGACTTTGTCTTGGCTATCCTTCGCCATCGCCGTGAGTGCCTCGAGATAAACGTCGCGTTCTATATCTCCGTGCACGAATTTGACCGCCGGGTGGCTGAGGAGATCCGCGGAAGCATCGCTCTGAACAAACGCAACGGGTACCCGGGCAGAATGGTCGAGTCGCGAGGGTGCCTCGAGCTGCAGCTTTCCGAGGGCCTTTGTCAACTCGTCCGCGTCCTCATCCGTAGCGGTGGATCCTGTCGCGCGGGTTTCGGATGTTGGAGGCGCGACCTCTTCAAGCCGCGCGACTGTGGCCGCGAGCCCAATGTTCACCGCACGCAGCCTTTCCGGCCGCTCAACGATGTGTGAATTGTCGCGCGTTCGAATATAGCGATGCTGTAGGCACGCTTTCTGTAGAAAAACAGAAGTCTGGGGCATCGCGCCGATACTGAGTTCGTTGAGAGGTGGATGAGGTTCGGGCGCGTTAAACAGTACTTAGCCACAGCAACTATATTAACGCGTCGCGTCGCGAATACAAGCGGAGATACAATTACGATGAGAGTCCATCATATCGGAGTATCTGCAGTGCTTACTGCGTCTAATGTCGGAGATACGGCCACCAACGCGCGAGTGAACCATCCACTTCCGCGCGCTACGACGCTGCTACAACCCAGCTGCAGCCTCTGTACGAACGTCGACCTCGATCTGAACTCACCACCCATCTCTCGTCCTTGCTGCTACATATATACTATCTGGGATGGATCGGACCACTCAGAATCCACTGCGCGGAATGCTTTCTGCTCTCCGAGCCGCGCGACGTCCTCGGGACCAGGATGCACGAGACACGACGAGCGACGAACCTAACGGGCTCATGGACCTCTTGCAGAACCAGGACTTCCTTCCCGCCGAACTTCGTGCGGATGACGCGGTACGCAATGAGAGCGATGACATTTATGACGACCTCCCGCCGTTGGAGGACTCTGGCCCAAGCACATCGCGTACGGAGAGGCCGCGGTCTCCCGTGGACGCTCCCGTAGACTCGTCTGATTCAGAGGACGACCTGCCTTCACTAGACCCACAATCACCCTCTTCTTCAAGTTCTCGACTGTCTACCCGTGACGTTGGTTTGCCTATCACCGGGGCCACCCCCAGCGACGTCCGTGCCTCGAGCCCCTCGGTTCGCGAAGCGGTACATGAGGATGCTGCGGCGTCTTCCTCGAGCCCTTCAGGACCTCCTATTGCCTCTTCTCCGGGGTCGCGTACACGCTCGAGGCGGCCTCGTGCGACTTCCTCGTCACAAGCGGCCGCACTGCCGGAAGACAACGAGGATGGGGCTGATAGTGACAGCAGCATGCCTACCCTGCAGACTGTATCTGATTCGTCAGACGACGAAGAAGACTCGTACGTTGCCTCAGACGAGGACTGGGACGACACGGACGACTTTTACAGCTCGGACCAGTTTGACGACGACGACGACGAAGACGACACAAACGGTCCTCCTTTCCCCTCCAATCATCCCTCTCATACCTCTCGCGAGCCCAACTCTCGACGCCCAGCTCTATTCGACCTCCTCCCCAACTTTGCTTCAAATATGACCACGAATAGCGACGATCTCTTTCAGTCTTTTCGAGATATGCTTGCGCGCGCGGTCAGTCCCTTAACAAATGTTCAGTCGGTACAGCGTCATTCATGTTCCGTTCACAGAGTAGCGTTCCGGCGAGTGAGCTCCGTGCACTCGACGATGCCGACCACATCCGGGCAGACGCCATCCTCGCTGGTCTCGAGAAGGTACCAACTGAGCTTGTGCGACGCTACGAGAAGCTGCGTGCGGCCGAGGGGCAGAATGCAGATGGCTGCGCGATTTGCCGTGATGATTTGTGCGCGGAAGAGGACATCGTGTCCTTATATGCGGTGTTGCCGTTCCACCCTGAGGCGTGCCACCCGGAGGCGAGCACTGTTTTCGCATTTCCGTGTGCCGGCAAGCATCTCTTCCACGGCGACTGCCTCTCGCCATGGCTTGCGCGGAAGACCACCTGTCCGTCGTGCAGGTTTGACATCGACCCGCATTCACTCACGCTGAAGAGGAACCGCGAGGGGCCAAACGCGGGGTTGGACAGCCAAGGTGGGCGTACGCGTGTGTGGCAGCCGCCGCAGGTAGAGTCCATGAGCGACTGGCTCGACGCGGAGGAACGTGCACGGGCGAGCGGTGTGCCGCGCCAGCGACCGCAGCCCGTCATACCTAGACGTGAGTAACTCTCGCATGGCATTGAAGAAACCACGTTTACCAAACTGCCACAGCTGGACCAGCCGCGGCTGGTTCGCATACATTCGCTTCTGGTCTTGCTGCAGCACTCGCAGGGACCAACACCACGGGCACGCTCGCGCAGCTGCTCGACTCCCCTCGGCCGGACTCCCCCTTGACGGACTGGCAGTACGATCCCAACACGGGCGCGATCAACATCCTCGCCGCCTTCCGCTCTATCTCGGAGATGCGCCAGGCATACCTAGAGGCAGACCCCGTCGAAAGGCAGCGCCTAGAGGGCCTCATCCGCGGCCAGGATGCCGCACTCGCCGACGCTGGCGCCCCGCCAGTCCAGGTCCCCGATCGTCCCCCGTCTGCACCCCCCATCCTACTCTCGGAAGTGACCCCGGGCCTTCTTGGAACCCCTGGCCCGGCCGCTGCGCTTCCCGCCGGCGCCGCACCCTCGCCAACGCGCGCACGCACCCTCGCCGAGCAGCTCGAGCACGCTATCATCGGGAACGCAGAGCCCCCATCGGCCAGTGTGCAAATTCCCCCTGCCATTGCGGAGCACTTCGCGCGTGAACGCGCCGAGGGCCGTCGGGTGGCCATCGTGATGCCGCCCGCAGAGGACAACGAGCCCGGGCTGGTGGAGCTACTCATGCACCTCAACACGCGGCTTCGCGAGGCGCACCTGAACGGTCCGCCACAGACCGCCCCTACGTCGTTTGAGGATGTGGCGGGCGCGCCTCCGCCAGAGCCAGCAGGAGAGGTGGATGCGGAGGCCCCGGACGCTGCGGACGTCCCGCCGCCTATTCAAGCGGATCCGAACCAGGCACTACACGCGGAGGCACCTTTGGAGCTGGAGGAGGAGTACACACATGCTCTACTCACCTCCGGACTTGTAGAACCTCATGCGGGCGATGCGGCTCCTCAGGATGGGAACAACTGGATCGAGGACCTGGACTAATGCGAGGCCCGGAAATTCCTCGTTGATTATCTGCTTGCGCTGGGTCCAGGAGCCCCTTGATGGATCGCCTGCACCCTCGAAGTTCGTGTTTCTTGTTCCTGAAGGTAGGGATAACGGTTGGTTAAATCGCAGTGAGCAAAGTTGTACTTTTTAGTGGGTGTACAGATACTATAGATCCTTCTCCCGCATGTTAGCATCCCTGTCGTTCGTCGTCGTGCTTTTGTAACGCTTCTCGTAGCTAGCCTCGTCGTACTTGTACAATCATAAGAATATCCTAGAAGGATCAATGACCACCATTCACGAAAAGTTGACGCGGGCCGCACGCGTCATAGCGGAGTGCGATGGATTGCGTGCGGTTCATGCGGTGTGTCCCTCGAACCCTCGTACCTGAGAGAGGGGCAACAAACTCTACGCTGATCCCACGTGCAGGCACATCCACCTTCAAGCAGAAAGAGGTGGTCATGATGCATGAATGGCATGACCCGTTTACGGGGCGCCATGACGCGGGGCTGGCACCCCCTGTACAACGCCGACGCTCTTTGACGGCCTCGCCCGCATTATGCTTTCAGGCCCCAGGGGCCGAGGTGGAGAATTACATGGTGGCGCAGTCGGTCATCGCACGCGCGAGCTCCAACATGCGCCCACAGCTTATATACCTTCGCCCGACGTCGCAGGACTGCACACATTCCATCTCACACAAACCCTCCCACATCCATAACTCCCAACCACTCACCACTTTTCATCTCATCATGTCCGGATCCTATGGCCAGCAGAACCGCACCACCGAGTCGTGGAACAGCGACCCGAACTCCTTCTCCAACCCGAGTGGCCCCGACGCCGGTTTCCAGAACCAGCCCGGAGGTACGCATTTGCACTGTCCTCTCCTGCGGCGGGCCCTATGCTGACGTTGCTTCGGGTTCTTGCAGGCGGCGGGTTCCAAAGCGAGCAATTCAATGCGGGCCAGCGCCCGACGCACGACCCCACCGACACCTCGACCTTCAACAACGAGCCCACAGGAGCCCGCCGCGGTGACTTCGGCGACAGCCAGTCCGGCGGCCAAGGCCAAGGCCAGTTCCGCTCCGGGGGCGACCCGAACGAGAAGTTCGGCACGTCTGGCTTCGGGCGCGGTGGCAACACCACGGACTCGAACACCGTCGGCACGGGCGGGAACTTTGACGGCCTGAGCAGCACTGGCCGCGGTGGCGCAGGCGTCGGCAGCGGCGGTGTGGACGGCGACAACTGGAGGCAGAACGACAACTACGGCTCGTCGAACAACAACGGCAACAGCTACGGTTCGAGCAATGAGCCCACTCCTGGAGCGGGGAAGGCGAGCATGGGCGAGCGGCTGAAGGGTATGTGGCATGAGCTTCATGCGGGATCGTCGAGATGCTGATCCACCTACCTGTTACATAGGCAATGCCGAGAAGCTTGCTGGACGTGTTACCGGCAACCCTTCGATGGTTGAACGGGGCCAAGTCCGCAAGGTTTGTGCTTCTGGTGTTGACGTCCAAGACACTTTGACTGATGTGCGCACGTTTTGCAGAGCGGTAACCCCGATGACACCAGCTACAATTCCAACGAGTCAAACGACTACTAGGAGTTTGCGATTCTCATGATGTATCAGTAGCATCTGGACTTTCCTGTATGATGGACAGTGTATCATAACAACCTCAACCTGTACTATAGCAAAATCAAACCGCGTTAGCCTGCTCAGATCTTGCGAGTGGAAGAACTCGCCTCATCCTACGCCCATTGGTGGAGCTGTTGGGCTTCTGTAATCACGGGAGAGCTTGTACGACAAGTGGCCTGCGCAGACGGCGGCTCCAATGAGAGCTTGATCGCCGGGGATTGGCTCCACACGACCTTCCTCGCCCTCGGAACGCGGGGAGCCGTCCGCGACGCTGCACGACGCGCAATTGCGAACATGCCGACTTGCTCGTGACGGATCCATCACCCTGTGCACCTCCATCTCTCTCGGACTCCATTAGTGTGAGATCCAGGATCCATCTCGCCGCGTTACGACAGGATAAGCTAGGATAAGTCCCCCTCGCTGACACACGAAGGTTCGCCGTCTGTCCGCGGCCATGCGAAGCAGGGGGGCCCGCGGCCGGGCATGACGACGGTGGCGCCGACGCGCCCGCATTGGCTGTAGCTTGCCGACGAGGCACGACCAGGTCCCCGGCGGCGTTCTTGCCAGTGTGTTTTCTCGCGCCTTCGGGGACTTGGGGCTGCGTTGAGCAGCATCGGGCCACACCGGGGGTGCGGCTGGCACTTTGCCTGCGGCGCCACCACCGAGGCGTCGGAAGAAGCGTCGGCCGGGTCATGTCGAACGTACGCCTGTGGTTCGAAGGTCTTCGTTCGCATTATCGCGAACCGCGAATGGTTGCCGATAGCTTAACGTCCCCGCGCGAACTTGTATCTGTGAGAGTCGGTGCGACGAAGGGCCACATTGGCGGACATACCCGTGGCCGGCATTACACTTAGTAGAACGCGCGCCCTAAGGACGCCTCGTACGTGAATCGGAAGCTAAACGGCTGATAACGCAGGGGGAAAGCACGTAAACCAGGAATCTATCTAAGTAGTCGTTCGACAGGTGGCCACTCACGTTCGTACAATTTACGCGCACCCTTGGGCCGGGCAGCGGGCTTTTCCCGTGCTAGTGCATTCGGGCGCTTCTCCCGCGAACAGCTGCCGGCAGCCTGAGGCTCGCCGACGTGCAGTACGCACGCACTTGTCATGGGGTGACGGGAGATGCTGGCAGCAGAAAGCATCAGCAATTCCAGCCAGGGCGAGGCCGGGAGCAGCGCGCGCACCTGGAATAGCAGCTAGGTTTGTACTAGCGGGGAAGCGTGATGGGTTAGGGCAGCCATCCAGGGACAGCTCAATAGGTCGGCAACCCAGCTGCTGCGTGGATCCCGGCGTGCTGCGACGACGACGTGCTGCTTCGCGGCCGCCTGGCGCCAGTCGGTGTAATCGCGGAGTTGGTGGGTAGGGTCAGGGAGGCCAGGGAGTGAATGGAGGCTTGCGCTTGGTGCGAGGCGTGCGTTTCGCGGCAAGCGTTTGCGCTATTGGGACAACTCGCCATCTCGTCGAGGCGCGTTATTCTCAGCGACGGTTGGACCCTGAACGGTCCGGGGAGCACGGTCGAGGTCCTGTTCGTTGCCTGCAGTCCAGAGGTGCCCGGGCATGTTCTCTCGCAGTACGTCGACGCAAGGTTCGATTTTCGACAGCTTGCACCCCGACTTGGTCGCCGGAGACAATGAACCGCGCCGATGTCCAATGGCGGACAGCTGATGCGCATTTACACCGCACGCGCAGGGAGGGCCGGCATCTATCATTGCCCGTAGTCCTGCTTCCAGGCTAACCAAACTCAGTCTCCCGCGCATGAGAACGAGGAATGGCACTTACTCGCGCTCAATGTCCGACCCTGGAAGAACCCTAGTACTAAGTAGTGCTCGCTGTCGGCATCGTGGCCTGCGGCGGAAGCGAAGTCTTGGTCCCGGCGGTACGATTGCTCGGAGGGGTGCCTTGCACGGAGTAGTGTCATTGATCGTTGCCTTTTACATCGCCTCTGCGTTAGGAAAGGTAGCTCTGCATCCGCGTAGTCTTCAGCTCGCAAGCCAGCACTCGGATGGGGGCGCAGCCAAGTATGGTGACGTTTGTATGGGTACGAGAGGGCGCTGATAGAAAGGAAATGCGAGTCCGCAAGACGGAGTGCATCTCCGCTGAGCGGACAGCATACGCCACACCAGGACTGGGGCGCATCACGGATATTGCTACCTCCGCAGTGTTTGGGAAGTAGCGATAGTTACCTTTTCATTGGCGCAGTTATGTATTGGTAATTTACACGAGTTATCCTCGAGGCTTGCGACAACGAGCATCGGCCTGGCCTCGTAAGGCAGCTCGGAACCTAGTTATAGCAATTGAGCGGGAGCTGACGACAAAGTCTATACAGCGTGCATGCTTCTCACCTCGGGCGCCGCCGCGAGCCACGTTGTTTAGGCTCATCTTCCCGCGTGCCACTGCAGCGTGGAAGCCCAGCCAGGGCTCCATTGAATGCCTGCGAGCCGAGCCGACCAGTAAGGAGCGCGGGAAGCGCGGGTTCTGGGATCGACCCATGTACGGGGCCCCAGGTGGCTGTTTTACCCCGCATCCCATAAATCATCCGACAGAAGCGAAAACGTACGAAGAGCGTCCGAGGCGATGCTGATGGTCGCGTGGTCGAGTGTCGTGGGACCACATTCGCTGCGGCACTTGTGAGGGTCGGACGACGTGATCGTGCGCTGGGCTGTTGGAAGGGATGATCGTTTCAACCTCGGAGAGGGCGTCAGGTCTTTGGTTGCTAAAAGCGTCGTCCGCAGGTAGGGGGCCGGTGTCATGAGCGCTGTCCAATAGACACATTCTGTGTAATTATTTGGGAGAAGGATGGTCCCTAGCCCATCTCGTCGTCGTCGTTCAGACACGAGCGGTGACACTGCGGCAGCTGAAGGACGTCGTCATACTATCTGACTGCAGGCAACGATCGCATCCGAGCTCGACATCTGACACCAGATGTTGCAGACACACAGCATACTGCATGCGGTGGCCCTCGGACCCCTGGATCTAAGCTTGGTGCACCAGGTTGGTATAGAGGGGAAGAGGAAGAAAGAACGTCGTCAACAAGCGCCCATGACAGGGCCGTAGATGTCGCCGGCCACGTGGAGTGGACCTACAACGATTTCCAAGCAGTCTGACATCTTGCGCACTAACACCACCGCGGCCTCGTTGTCATCACACTCCCTATCTCATCTTTTGCATATGGGGTCAGAATCATGTCTTGTCCGTATGTTCGTTATATCTCATCGGTGCACGCAGCTCGCCGCAATGACTTTAAATTACAGCTAGAAGCCGTCACCTCGACGGAAATGGAAGGCTCTTTTGTCTCATTATTCCTTCAAGGTTCTAGACACAAGACGGTGGCGTCTCGCTATTATGACGGGAGTGGACGGCGCAAACACAAGCTAGGGACCCTAAATGATCGAACACTAAAGAACAAGGACCGATCGAGTCACATTCGCGGAGGTATCTGGCACCCCGCGGCCCGATGATTGCAAGCTGCAGCTCGCACTTGTGCACAGCAACAGAACTAGTCCAGATCGAGTGCATGGCCAATCCTTAGCAGAGCGCGTTGTTTAGCAACCGTGGCGGTCTAGCCCGCTACGTGCCACATTTTGTCTCCTTGTCCGCTGCGCACCTCTTAACCAACTGTGGCATGTTGTCAGCATGGGATTTTTGAGGCCATCGGAGACAAGTCGCGAAAAGGGGAAGTCTCTTCTTACAGCACGGACAATTGACGGGTCTCCTTTGGACAAAACGGCCGTTAGTAGCTCGGAGACCGGTACCGAGATCTGTCTCGACGGCAAAAAGCACATACCACGAAGACCGTCGGCCGAGTTTCAGCTGCGCTCGTCATTGGACGCGAACGCACGTTCATGCTTAGGCACACTGGGCAGGACTAACGTCCCGATATTAACGGCATACGCGGGTATAACAAGGAGGCTGTCGCGTCCGGTTTCCGCGCAACGTCTGTTGGACGTAAATTATGAGTTCGTATGCGAGATGGTCGTCGTGATCCGCGGTACTCGTCTGAGACATGGCCACAAAGTCTGCGTTGGCTCATCTAAGCACATCCGCGTACCTCTGCAGAAAATTTGCAGTCCGAGGTTCTATCCGGGGAGCCGAATTCCGTGCGATGGCCTAGCCATCCGGGCGGTCGTCCCGATCGAAGCTGTCGCTGATGGCTGGCGGCATGGAGGTACCACACGTCGGGAGACATCAGCACTACTGCTCGCGTAGATCACTGTCGCGAAGTCGGTTAGAATGTGGCATATGGCTTACATGCAATACACACCGAAATGACAAGAACGCACCCACGAATTAGAGGCTTCAGTTGGAAGCCAATGCCCGACTCTGCCTCGCTTACACACAGATGAGGCGTATGTCCGCCCGTGTTGACCAAGACGTTCGGAAAGCAGGCGCGACGTCCGTGAAAAAAGAGTATAGCCTCCAGACCTTCGCGCACGTGTGAATGAACCACTGAATGCACGATCGTCGCGGTGGCCGCAAGCAAAGAGAGAACGCGGGGAAACAGGCTCTGCGCACTACCCAATGCAGGCGCGCCCCGCACGGACCGGCCGCCACGCCCCGCCGCGAGCCAATCGCAGCGTCGGGCGCGCTCATGCGTGCGGCGGCAGTACCTGCTCCTCGTCCTCCTTCTCCCCCCTCGACGTCCGCGCGAGAACCCATGGCCGACAGCGCAGACCGACCGACCGCGGTACTCCCATACAGGTGGAAGACGATCCCGGATAGGCCATCCGGGTGCACCACCTGATTGGCATGCTCGCGAAGGCACCCGACGCGTTCCCAGAACTGCGCCCGTATTATCCTCGGGGCCTCTCAGCCGTGTGCGCCGCGCGTGGGGAGCGAATCCCGTGGCTATCCACCTAACTGGCGGAATAGGCTGCCAAGAGACGGTCCAGCGGGCGCGTTCATGTAAGTTACAAGAAGCACCGAGGCCTGGTCATGCATGGCAGCGGCCTGTCCGTTTGCGCTGCACCC